TTGTGTGACACAATTTTAGATAAAAAAAATCCCAATGGCTTTGAAACTTGCATTAGGAGGCACACCTGTTGTAAATTTATTCAAAGTTATCCAAGTGATTTTTTTAAAATTCTCTCCTAGAAACAATTAGGGTTATCGCAAAAAAGGAAAGAAGCTATTATGATGAGGGACCCGGAGTAAAATAAAATCAAATGCTAAACCGTTATAAATTTTTGAAGGGGTAAAAAAAAACCTTTATAAATGAGGTTAAATCGGTTTGAAGCGGTTTCATCCAAAATAAATAAATTTTCTTCTTATTTTTTTTGGTTTACATCTTTTCCTTGTAGTATTATTGCATTCACATTTTAATATATCTACATCGTTTTAAGGTATGAATCCATTTTATAATTATTAAATAATCAAAATATTTTATTATGCATAAGTAGTATGCATTTTTTTCATTAACACCTAAATTAATCAAAAATCTTTTAACTGCTTCTTATAGTATTAGATTTATTCCTATTTTCTCTATTTTTAATATGCAAAATATATAAATGAGGAATTTATAGATTTTTGATTTAGTTTCAATTTATTAATCGCATAACATCACCACCTACCCATGAGTGATTTGATAGAAGGGCCATTATTCCCATATAAATTTCAAAATAACCAAATTTATAAGGTTATAATTTTTTTTATATTATTTATAGAATTTTGGTATTTGAGTATATTTTTAAACAATTGTATTGTTTATTTTGTGTTGTCTTTGTCGAATAAACTTCTGTTTGATGCCCTATGACTGCCACTTCTGAGAAGGGGTCTAAATGAAGGTAAAGCTAAAAGGGATAGAGCGTATATACATTTTGATTTCCTTCTTCAATTCTTTTGTTTCCTACCTTTTTCGAAAAAAAAATGTTTATTTGAAAAGTTGTTTAAATCTGTTTTTATTTTATTTCCTATATTGGAATTGTAAATCTTTAAACTAATTGTATCCATATCATGTGGCTTTACAAATTGATAGTGAATTCTAATTAGTTTGTCAATATCATAATTTTACAATATTTTTTTTCTCTGATCATATATATATTTTTTAAATTGTATTTACATTGAAAATGCATAAAAATTTATTTTATTTTTTAAAAATTTTTTAATCGTTCATAATCAATGTTTACCCAGTTATTTTCTTTTCTTATTTATAATATTCTCTTAAATGAATCAAACCGTAATATAGATAAAAGTGCATAATCATGATTAAAAGTGATCATAGAGCTAATTTAGATAGGCATCATTCTAAAGAAGATGAATCTCTAATCTAACTGTAAAAAAATATTTCCAAATCTATTTTGTCATGATGAAATCTGTTATATTTCCATTGAGAAGTCATTAAATTAGGTTTAATGGATAAAAGCCCATTGATAAATTTTTCAACAGAGTTATGATTCTTATATATTTTTTATATTATTCAGATATTTACAATAAAAATCAATTAATTTCTTCTCTTTTATAAATGAACAATGTATTAACTTTAGTGGTACAAAATTTAAAAAAATAATATTCAGAATTAAAATTATATATGATGGTGTTTAAAAATAATTAAAAAATTTTTTATAACCACAATGAACCTTTATAAACTTTTATTATTAGTTAAACTGAACCTTTATAAATATTTTGAACTGCAACCTTGAGTGGCGTATCCAGGATTTTCTTATAGGGGGGGATTTTTTTAAGAAAGTTAATTAATATTAAAATTAAATGATAGTTAATTAATATGAAAATTAAAATTAAATTGAAAATAAATTAATTAATAAAAAGTTATTTAATATGAAAATTAAAATTAAATTGAAAATAAATTAAATTGAAAATAAATTAAATTGAAAATCTCCTTAACTTTATTAATTAAATGTTTTCTTGGTATATTCTTTGTTAACTAAATATTTTCTTGATCTATTTTATAATTTAAGAATTTCCATTAATTATATAATTTTTTGGTCTCTTTATTGATTAAATATTTTTCTCGTATCTTCAATAATTTTTCCAATCGTAAAATCTTCTTACAAAAACCAATTAATGAATAAAAATCCTTTTCCTTTGTTGCCACTGTATTTCTTTTCACAAAAATCAACAAAATACATGGCTAACAACAGGTTCATAATATATATATATATTATAATAATTAATTTTATCATTTTAATACAATTATAAATAATCATTTAAAATATTACAACACGTCCACCCTATTAAGGCTTAGTGTATATAATCTCCTTCCATCTTCTTCTTCTAATAATGTCATCTTGTGTCTTAACATGCAAGTATGATACCTTTGCCATCAAATCTTTCAAAAATGTAAAAATACATATATACTCTTCCCCCTCCCAGCTCTATATATATATAAATTATTCTATTCTAATTTTCATTTGATCATGGTGACGAATACCCTCCACTATTATAAATATTCAATTTATTATAAAACATATTATAAAATTTATTATTAAAACTATGATATAATTTATTATTATTAATATGATTATTTGGTCTCTCGACCTCCTTATACTTCTTAGATTCATAGTCAATTAAGGCAATTAATGGCTAAATGTCCATTTTCCTTGCACTTAAAACAACGACGTTCCTTAAACTCATTAATCTTGTTTAAATTCTCATTTAATGTATTGTCTATTTCCCTTATATTACAAATTGCAGATTTAAAATTTTTAGAATTTTTAATTGGAAAACCTTCACAAAAATTTTTTTCATTAACATAGGATATTACAAGCCTCTTTTTTATTATTTCAAGTTAGGTATATTATATTTAATAAATTTTTTTAAATGTAAAGGTTTTTTTAAATGTAAAGTTGAAATAAAGTGTAATGTCATTTTTTTTTATAAAATTTGCTTTAAAAACTAGCCTCAGCTTAAATTCTCATACAATATAAGTAGAATATAATTTTTTTTATTGAAAATACTAATAGTAGTGTGTTTAAAATATTGACTAGAAAATAGTTAAATTAACAAGTTTTTTTAACTTCTTATCAAATACAAGATTTTTAATTATTTCGTTTGTCGTTGGAACCAAATCTCTATGTATATTTAACAGCTAACCCATTTAGCCGAGATTAAGTATTTCGTAAATATGTTTTAAACCTTCTCAAGTTGGAAAAAGTCCTTTCATTCGTACATGTTGTAATAGGCAAACATGCAAGAATATAAAACAACTTCGAAATATTAGGAAATTGAGCCAAGGTTTCTTTACACCGATTGAGCACATCAATAGCATGCTCAGGTAAAATAGCTAAACGTATAAATATTTATACCACAATTCGAATTCACTGATTAAATTTATTTCAGTATCAATCTCATAGGAATAAAATTTTTCTAAATATTTAATTTTACCAATAGTGGCATTAGAAAATGAAGAAGGATCTTTGGGTAATAAAACTTGAAGACTGCTAAAGACTTGTTTTTTATCTAAAACCCGTACTTTTATTTGCGATAAAAAAGAATCTAAAAAATGGGATAAAAATGGATATTTTATAATATTCTTCAGTTGAGCCAATATTTATTTTCATCTCAATAATGGCCTAGGTGCTAGACGAGGTTTAATTAGTGTTATATCATAAAATTTGCCTTCGATCGTCTAGATATGAAAATATTTATCTACATTCATTCTTATTGTAACTACCTGTTCATGTATATTTTCCGCCAAATCAATAACCTGAACCAAATCTAAATTTGGTTTTTGTAAATTTCTACAAAGTAGTGAGCTAAAAATAATTTATTGATGCAACTAGCAGCAATGATAAACTCTGATTGATCAATTGAATTCAATAATGATATCGCTGCTGACGACACATTACATTTTTTCATGCTCAGCCTTATTTATAAATTATCGTTTGATTTCAATCTTTGACTAAATTTTTTCCATTTTATTAATATTTTTGAATAATATGTTGGAAAATTGATATTCAAATATTTGTAAAATCTTGATTGGTGGGGGGGGGGGGGTAAAATTTTTATTAGCTGAAAATGATATTTATGAAAATAGTCAAATTTGCGATGGGGGGGGGTGAAATTTCCCCCTTCCCCCCATTGGTTAGGCGCCTGGCAACCTTTAATTTTTATATAATTGTCCGTAACCCAACCTAACTGTTATAGATATAGGTTCGGGTTATTTTTACAGTTCTTTTAAACAAATCATTTAAATAGATTAAAATGCCTTTTACATTATAATTTATTAAAGGTCAACGGAAAATCTAAACTTATTTTAAAAAATTATAAATTTATTTGCTTAAAATGAATTTGTTTGTCAAAGATATTGAATAAAAGTATATTATAAAATAATCTTTAAAAATATAATATAAGCTAAATATTAATATTTATTACTTATTTTTTTAATCGTAGTCTTAATAATTAAGGACGCCATGGCTTAGCAAGGATTTATATATTCCTTCAATTTGCAAAATAGTTTAATTTTTTTACATTATTCATTTTGAAAAATAGTTATAAAAAGTAAATATTCACTAATAAAATATGTTTATTCCAAATCGGATTTATTATGGATATGCAATTTACATTTTTTATATCAATGAACAAATTTCCTTTTAGCTTATGATACACAGTGATGGCCTTTTTAAAAATATTATTAAATGTCATTCTTTTAAATCTCCTTCATTTAAAAAATTTAATAATATAGGCCTTAAGTAAAATACTCAAAAAAAATCTGATTTTTTTTTGTATAAAAAATACAACTTTATTTTTTTTAAAAAATTAGCTTACAGGTATTCTTTTTATTAAAAAATATAACATATTTTATATTATTTTATAATATATTTTATTTTATATAATTAATGCAGAGAATCAAATAATATTTAGAAACTTTTAAAATAATATACAAAACATTTTAAATATATTTTTAGTCATTCTATTCATTCGCGAGGAGAAATATATATTCCATTGTATATTCCTCTACTATTGCTTTAAAAAAACTTATAATTTCTCTACCTCCTTCCCATCACTACCAAAGTTTTAAATTCTTGTCCACCCGATGCAGACCAATTTAAGCACACAAAAAAATTGTCAATCATTTTTATTTCGAACAACTCTATTTATACTAAAATAATATATGGGCAGGAAAAAGAAAAAATATTCAAAGCCATGGTGCTGGTATAATTTAAATATATATTAGATTACAACCAATTTTAATATTAAAACATATATAGGTATTGTAATAGAGATTTTGAGGATGAAAAAATACTCCTACAACATCAAAAGGCTAAACATTTTAAATGTCAAGTATGCCATAAGAGATTATTTACTGGACCTGGCCTACAAATACACTGCCTACAGGTTGTATAATGATTTAATTTTTTTATTAATGATACACGTTTTAGGTCCATAAAGAAGATATTGACAAAGTACCAAATTCATTACCACATAGAACCAATATTACTATTGAGATATATGGTATGGAAGGAATACCCGAAGAAGATTTAATATCACATGATGAAAAAAGAGGTTATTAATATAATTTTTTAATATATTGGAACAATATATTACAAGGTGTATATAATGCAAGCCAAAAAAGTGGTGAAAATTCACAAATACCAATTTTGCCTATGTTTCCTGGTATAATAATAGTTTTTACAGTCTTATTTTTTATACAACTTAAAAAATGCAGTTATGCCAGGTTTTAATCCAATTCCTCCACGATTAGTTCCAATTCCATCATCTACAACATTGATTCCACCTCCAATGAAATTGTATGTGAGAGTTATGCATATATTTTATTTTTAACAACTAGATCTATTTGGTTCACAGCTTATTTTATCTTTTAAAGGTTATCTATTCCCCTACAATCAATCAATCAATTACCATCATCTGCTATGTTTAGTAGACCAGATCAGACCATATTTAACTCCCCATCTTCCCAAGTTTTTTTTTAATCAAATTTATTATGAAGAATTTTAACATTTATATTTGTGTATATAAATTTTACTAAAAATGATATTTACATTGTTAAAGGTGTCAATTTCAAAGAAATATATTTTATATATAATAACAAATTGAAAATCATATAATACTAATTTTTCTGATTCATATTTAATAATCTATTGTATAAATTTCATTTTTTTATACAATTATGTTTCCTTTTTGAAAACACAATTATGGAATTGTATTTTTATTTTATTATAGGGTTTTTATAGTGTTTTGATAGAAATTTTTAAAAATTAAAAAATTTTTTTTTTTTAAATTCATTTTATTACTGCCAACTTAACTCATAATTAATTTTTTTAGATTGACAATTTTTTCTAATACACAAATTCAAGTCTAAATTATTGATAAAATTTATAATTAACATACAAATCACTATAAAATAAATACCTTGGAAAATAGCTGTAATCAAAAATATAAATTTTTAGACATTTTAAATTTGATATATAAATTAAATTCTAATAAAAGAATTTAAAGTTGGATATATGTGTCTGCCATACATCAATTTACTTGATTAAAAAATTTAAATTAATAAATAGAATATATTATTAATTAATAAAAATTGATTTTTAATATTTTACAAACTTATAAATTCATCTTTTCTATATTTTTAGATTATTCCTCCCCCACTTATACCTTCAAATTTTTCTATGATTCCCCCAGCTCCTACTTCCCTCTCCAAGCCTATGTTCCCAGCTTATGCCCACACGTCTTCCATGGATTACGAAGCAAAGAATAAAAAGTATGAGATGATTTTTTAAAAAAAAATTATGTATACAAATATTTTTTTTCAAAGAAATTATTACTTCATAAAAAAAATAGATTAATAAATAATTCATACAAAAATATATTGGAAGATTTAAAAAATATTTGATTTTTTTTTGCATGTTTATTTTTATATACGAAAATTACAGAAAATTTCTAGATTTTGACCCTTTTAGGTTTCCGATTTGAAACTTTATATAATGCTGCTTACGTTATGATTTTTATAATACACACCTAAGGAAAAATGAGTCAATTTGTATTATTATATGGTTACTTACAAAATAAATGATTATACTCACATATTATATGCTGACGAAATAGTAGTAATCAATTATATTTTATTTCTGTATGTAAAAAGAAAAATATGCATTTACATATATGTAATGACTACATTATTTATAAAACTTTTAATACATTAAATAATTTTATATCACTATGGGGATTAAATAAATTTTACTTAATTTTTTTTTTGTATTTATTTTTTATAACTTAAAATATTTAAATGCTCGTGGCTATGTGTTATTTTTTGTTTTGTTTTTTGAATTTTAAAAAATCTGATTTTACCGGAACTGTATTCCAGCATGCTTAGGACACCTATCTTATGAATTGTACACAGCCATTAACCTTTGAGTCATTTATAATTTATAAAAAAAATCTATGGAAAAACTAATATAAATTATCTCATTATTTACTGAATTAATTATTATGGCAATAGGCTTGCTGAAATAACTAAACCTTTTAAATTACATTTAAAAGGATAGCAGAAAGTTTTATTTGGAAAAAATTTGAAAGTTCATGGGTAAAATTTATAAGGTAAGTAATCTAAAATGATGATATATATTTCCGATAAAATCTTACGCACTTAAAGTTTATATTTTTTTCTCAAATGTTTAATACACGAACCATGTTTATCTTGTTTATCCAATTCAATACATTACAAATAATTTCCTCCATATTAGGAGTGGGCTAAAAACCCTCCCTAATCATCAGGAGAGATAGAATTAATAAAAACTAACATTATCAATCACCCCACCTCCCCCATTGATCCAACGAATTTTATTTCAGCAATACCAAGAAGAGAATATAAAATAACTGGGAAAAATAATTATTACTATACCCGAGAGAAATGGAATGAAAGTAAAAGATATCGTGAAAGTGTTTTGAAATGTTTTCATCATCTATAATAAATAAATAAAAGCGCGAAACATTTCCCAAAATCATGGAAAGGGATCCTTCGAAAGATTACGTAATTGTTAAAAGAGAGGTCGAAAAAGAAGAAAAAGAAAGAAAAATAATTTGTAGTTTTAAAAGAACAAATATAGGCCAGTTAATCTCCTACCTTAGTACAAAGAAATGAAATGGCGTTCATGATGTAACCTCGATGCTTAATCATTGTATTTCCCTATGACTTACTTTTCCAATTTATTATTATAATATACTGTTCACTATTTGAAGGTTGATTATAGATAGGTCATGTCAGCCAATAAGTTATATCAAATTTAATATTGAAAATATATTTTAAGAGTGCCATAATTATATATTGAAAATTGGGACGAGGAAAAAAAATATCAAAATGCTATATTTGTAAATAGGGTGAATGCAATTTTTTTAAAATTCATTTATTTTGTAAGTAATTTATTGACATATATAATACCTAAACTGACGATTCATTCATTAAAATGCATTTTTAAGCGTCGTTAAAAACAAATCAGCTGGACCCGCCATTTTAGTAACACGTATAGTAATTATTCTCATGTTAAAAACTACTATTAAATTGATAACTTGCTTTCTTATTATCTCGATGATCCAGTAATTCCTTAATAAAGTTTGCATCAGATATAGGAATAAATTAGGCTCTCGTTTAAAATTTTAATAGTGTAACCAAGATGGCGTCTCCAGCATTGATGCACACTATAATGAATGAATCGTCAGTCTAGGTATTATATATGTCATTGAAGTAATTATACAAAAATATAAATCCACATTGACTTATTTTTTTTTTAAAAAAAAATTATTTATTATAAAATTTATATCTTTATATTCTAAAAAAATAATTTTTAAATAGTGTCTATTTCCGTTTCACAGATTTGTGTTGGTTCCATGGCTTCGATTCCAAACTTTATATAATATATATTAATATATAATTTTTTTTTAAAAAAAATGATGCCTATTTCCGGTTCCAAGATATTTTTGTCTTGGTTTAAAATGGCCTTTATTTTTGCCTCACCTCACAGCTGATTAACGTTTCATAATTTTTATGAACACCAATATCTTAATAGTCTCCAAGAAAAACCGTCGCCCCCCCCCCCCCTTACATTTTAAAGTCACAAATACAGCATTGTTCCAATTTTTTTAAAAAAAAACAAATGTTGACGGGTAATCAATTTTGGTATCTTATAAAATGCAAAAAAGGAATTATATTTCAATCTCGAAATATTTAATATTATTATCCTATTTCAATATTTCACGTTAAATCTAAATATCGGTCGGCAATAACTTTGATGATTTAATTATTGTTTATCAATTTTATTATTTTATATTACTAATAATGATATAAAATGTTAGGAAATATGGACATTGAATATTTTTTGAGGACTTTGTGGCTGGACCCTTAAAATTTTGATTATTTTAATTCCGGCCGGCCCATGGGCCTAATGCTGGCCCTTGTGTGTGGGCCCTCTAACTCAAACTAACCAACACATGATTTTTTTCTAGTGGATAAAAATGCTCGATTTTTTCTAATTATATTGATTAGTGCTCAAATATGATATTTTAAAAATATCAGCCAAAAAATAAGCTTAAATAGAAAATCTAGCCTTGTGCATATCTGCACCTTTAATCATTAAGAGGTTAATCAATTCTAAATTTATTTTATAAACCTTTAAAATATACATATTATTGTGACAGTAATAGTAGTAGCCCAGGTGACTCTACGGCTCCCACAATGCACATGGCAAACCTCCCTCCTATTTTGGATTCCCCGCAAAAAGACAGGCCGAAACCTCTTATGCTCAGCTCTTCCGGGTACATTGTCCAAATTATGCATCCATCTTTCGAATATTCGGCGGTATAATGGAAAATCATAAATATATATTTTTTTAAATTGGGTTTATAATATATTATATTTTTATAGCATAACAATTTTGACCCCTCTCTATATTTTTAGCTATTACGAGAGGAGGGTGGCGGGCCATAATTATATAGCAGATTTTTTTGAAATTTTATGCAATTTGGCTTGGATTACAGGCCCGATTCTACGCCTTGGGGTAGGGCACTGCACCTCCCAAAAATTTCAAATTATCACCCCCCCCCCTCCCGTTTTTTTGGTTCCAGTATATTATTTTTTGATAAATTTTTTAAAAATAAGAATGTAATGGGAAAGTAATAACTGTTGTTCAAACAACTCTCGGTTTAAAAAAAAAACTATTCATGTCTGCTGAAATACCTCATAGCGCCAACCGCACCCCATATCGTAATGAGTTAGGAGAAAATATAGTTAATTTGGTGGAAGAAAGAAAATGATCAAGATGCCAATATTCAGAATAAGGTAAATGAGCCCTGAGCTTTCAAAAACAAAAGGGATGGGTTAGATTTTCTAAGTTATTCCTTATTGCGAATACTTTACGACCGATTTAAATCGAGTATCACCAAATAGACCACCATCTAGTCGTGTTAAAAATCCCGATTAGGGTTGACAGAAAGATTTTAAATAAATTTTGGCTAAAATCTTAATCGGGTCGTTTTGAAAAATCGACCCAAATGGGGGTTTTTAAGAGCAATATTGGCAGAAGACAGTCACTAATAAAGGGAGAAGATTTTATAAATACGTACAGGTTTAATAATTAAGCCCTGGTGGTAATAAAATAATATATTTGTCTTAAAATTATAAAGTAATCCTTTATTAATTTAAATAAACGTTTAAAAATTCCAATTTTTAAAGTAAAATGAAATTTCTTTAAAGTTATAAAAGTAAACATTATATAAATAGGATGAACCATCACTTTTCAAATATAAATCAATCTCATACAATTATACAAAAATAAATTATCTAAACGATAATCTAATATTTATCAACATAACATTGTAAATTGTAAAACATTAATTCATAAATTAAGATGTTTTGAGCAAAATCTTCGGTACTTGCTCGATATTTTTTTCTGGATAATATGCCGAGTAGTTATGGATGTACCGATTTTTTATCGGATCGGGCCGATATTTCGGCCGATATCGTAAAACTTTCCTATCCGATAAAAATGGCTTCTTTTTTTTTTAAAAAAAAAAAATTTATTTCAAATTTAATTATGTAAATATTTGAAAAATAAAATTATTTGACTTGCAAAAAAAATTTGTTAAAATGACGTATTTATATATATTCTTATCAATTTTTTTTTTACTACGTTAAATAATTTTATTTACAAATGAATTAAAAAAGTATGGAGATGGAAATGTTTTGAATTAAATTTTGCGCAACACTGTAGATTTATTATTATATATAATATGTAAATAAGTGATTTATATCAATAAAAAAATATTTTATATGCTTTAATTCTTGAATATAAACTGTAACTGAATATTGTAATATTATTTAAGTAACTTTTGTTATTGTCAATGACATATAATAATACTTAGACTGGCGATGCATTCATTTAAAAGTGTAAGACGCCATTTTGATTATCCATATCATTATTAAATTTTAAACGAAATGCCAATTTATGCCTATGTCTGATGCAAACTTTATCAAAGTATTGCCTGATCATCGATATAATAGGGAAGCAAGTTATCAATTTAACAGTAGTTTTTAACATGAGAATAATTACTATATGGGTAAACAAAATGGCCGGCCCAGCTTATTTGCATTCAACGACACTTTCAAACGCATTATAATGAATGCATCGTCAGTCTACATTGGTTATGATCTAGTTAAATTAAAGATGCCATAAAAAGTATATGAGAGTGATGCAAAATCGCTCAATTTTAGACGATTTAAACGGTTGGCTCTATCTTTATCGGCTAAAAAACTAATATTTGCCTAAAGCCCGAAATATTTGCTCGTCATCTAATTAACGAAATCTCGAAAGAAGCTCAGGGAATAATATTTTTTTTCTGGATAAAATTCCGAGTTAATTCTTTTTATGTTTACAAGAATACAAAATAGGTTATGATATCGGATTGGGTCGGTCCACCGATATCAATTTAATATTGGATCGACTTCCAAACAGCGGTATCAGTTACACCCCATAGTTGGCCGTTTTTAAAAATCGGGTGAGCAATTTTGCATATAACCTGATGCATACCCTTTATCGTTTATGTATAATACCATAAGGTCAACAGAAATCTTTATTCTTTTTTTTGTCATTCAATGATAAAAATGAGAAGATGTATATATGTTATGTAATACAAAGTGTGATTTGACATGTGTGGCACATATACATTGAGTGCACATGACAATATCCACATCTTTTCCCCCATCTATAATTTTGGATAAAAAATGTAATCAGAAAAGTTTTTCACGCTGTAATGCAATCTGGCATGCGTTTGCCCCCTGTATTTAAACTTTATTTCATTTTTTTACTGGTGTTCTAAGGAGAGATGTTAATAGCTTAGTGCAAGTAAACTCTTCTTGTCATCTCGATTCACGAATTTTCTAATTTATCAAAGCAACTTCTATAAAAATGGATGAATATTGGCGACTACCATTTTTCCCTCTTATTTTTTTCTATATGTTGATATGAGATTATCACCCAGATCGAATCCATCCACGTGTTTGTTATAAGCGGTGATCATATTTGGGTTGAAAAAATTTTTATTCTAGAAAAATATTATCTCGAAATTACATTGAAACATTAGAAAACGAAGAGATGGTGTGGCATGCCGATACAGCGTTTACCACCGAATTTATCATTCAAACGAACTATCAATATTCTTTTTTGATTTATCGAATCTATAATCATAATTGCATCTTTTTTTAGCTGCAATCTTTATAGATTCAAGTGTTGTAAAATATCTCATTTGTTTTAACTAAAACAAAAGTTTAAATGTGATAAAGAGATTATCAATAGTATGTTATGATAATTTAGTTTTTGTAATGTCTAATAATTATATGATTACATTTCCAATTAATCCATATTCATTATCGCTTTTTCCTTGATATATATATTAAATGAAAATTACGTAACCGTCAGCCAATATCCAATATTTGCATCCGTAATTGGTTTTCCTTTTATGAACATTTTGCAAGAATGTTTTCCTCGGTATGGTATCATCTGTTCATCTATTGTCAAATGATGTTTGAAAATTCCGAATTGTTAAAATTTATTATTCAATATATTAATGTAAGGCCTAACTTTATAAAATCTATCATGTATATCTATTTTAGTATTGTCTGCCAAATGAATATTATATTTCAAATTTCGGAATTATGATTGGGTCATTGTATTCCGGATTATCGGAATAGAAATATCGCTATCATTAGACCAGTACATCCTTTCTTGAGGGAGCTAATGATATCAACTAAATAATAGAATTCCAATGAATCTCTTGATATCTGGGCTGGGATGCCACATATATTAGGTCTATTCATTTGTTTTGCATAAATATTACTTCTTTGATCACAACTAGAGAATATTAAATCTTCATCATCGTCAAAGAAAATATGTTCGATGGGCTTTTACCATGCAAATCGTTTTCAAGTTTTATTATATCTTCCTCTTTTAAAAAGAGTCACCTAGCAATATGAACTATTCTCCAGTTAGCGATGAAAAAGATTTCGACGAAAATGACTTAACAAATAACGAAGTTTTGTCATTCAGATGCTACTGATGGATTAGATATTCATAATTCAATTGATAACGATATTCCAAAACCATCTACTAGAAGTAGCTATTCTGTAATTTCTCGCCATTTAAAATAGAGGAAAACACATATCAATGGGGAAGAGGAATGTAAAAAAACTTAAATACGATTTACATGGTAAAAGTCCATCAGATATATTCGTTTTAATTTTCGACGAAAACTCATATTCCCTCATTGTAGAGCAAAATAGTATTAACTCAAAACAAATGAATAGGCAAAATATAAGTATGACTATCCCAGATTTTAAGAGATTTATTGGAATTCTCTATTATTTACTGGATATGATTCTCTCAAATAGAGAGGATGTATTGGTCTAATATGGTAGCGATATTTCTATTCTAAAAATCAACAATACAAATGACCCAATAATTTGAAATCTAATATTCATTTGGCAGACATACTAAAATGCACATACCAGATAAATTATATAAAGTTAGGTATATTGCAATAATAATTTTCAAAATTAATTCATCGGAGACATTATTTATTCAAAAATTATAGATAAGCAAAGATGTAGATGCAGATATTGTCATAAACACACAAAGATATATGCCAAACCTGTCAACAAATCATATTTAGTTTCAAGGATTTTCATAATATATAAATATTTTTGTTCGTTTTTATTATGAATTACAAAAAAATAATAATAAATTTATATTGTTTTATGATCTTATAGTATATACATAATTTTTAAGTTTTTTATACTCTTAGATGGTAATTGTGGCAGATACGCACCAGGTCAAAAAATTTAGCATTTTTATCAAAGACTTGCAAGTGGTACCATTCTCACTTCCCTGAAATATTATGGCTAAATGTTGGCCAATTTTTTTTTGCTGTTGAAATTTTTGATTATTTTGGATATCGGGCCCCATTGATATAATTCCTATCCATATCGGTATATCTTCTACGTTATATATATATATCTTTATTTTCTTTTACCCAATATTATTTACGAGGTTAGGAAGAGCACAGATCCTTTACTCCCAAATACAGCCGTATGCACCAAAATGATTCCCTAGAGCACAACAAATCGAATGCTACCAATAGCGATTCCAACATTGCCTCATATCTTCCAACGTTTCCCCAAAATCCCGATAGATTTAACGTAGAAAAAAAGGGGCAAAAACCGTTTCCTAATGGAGCCTTACTTCCACCTCCCCCTATGCGTATAATAATTGATAAAATTTATAAAAACGTTTCGTGTCTAAATATTAGATCATAAATGATTCACTCAAAAGTTACCACGAATTTGTGGACAAGTATGCAAAGTATGCTCTCTATGTTTGTATTTTTTTCCGCCAATTCTTGCTAACTTCTAAATGAGGGGTTATCGGATATTAATTTTTAGTTTTATTTATTTTTTCCTCCAATTTATGGAAAAACAAAATTCAAAAAAGGGTTGTTCTTAAATAAGGTAAGATATATCCAAAAAACAGATGACAATCATTAAATGAATGGCACCTAAAAAGATTGAAATTATTGAGAATAACTCTTTTTTTAATAAAAAAATGAAAAGCCCCATTATTAATGAACTCGCCTTCGATCATGAGTAAAACTAATCCCATGCAATCCACATCCCTTTACTCACCACAAAACCAACAACCATTGCCTCCGCCTGCTTTTCACCGGCATCAGAACTTCGATAATTTTGCAAGTCCTAGTCCCAATAAATCCTTGATGGACAAGCCCATGCCATCTTTTTATCAACCTTCCGCGAATCAATACATTGGTGCCAGCAACAACGATAACAATTTAAATAATTTCAATAGCGATTACAATAATTTTCCCAATAATCAATTCAGCTACAATCCCCATAAAAGTTGTAATACCAATAACGAGTTACAGATGCCGCCAATGTTCCAGCCTAATAATAATTGTAACAACAAGAAAAATAATATTGCATAAATATTTATAAATATAGCAATTTTTTTTAGTTTTGAAGCATCATATTTTTCTTAAATACAGAAATTGTAGAGGAGAAAAGGAACATGATTAGGATTAAATTTGAAATTAATTTATATATTTATTTTATTACTATTTTTAGTGCATATGGCAGCGTCGAATCCACCGCAACCATTAATGAATCAATTTATGAATAATCCAAGAAACTACTTTCCCAGATATTAAATATTTATTTCACACGTGTCATTTAAACACCCACTGTTCAACTACGAAAATGGTATACATTGTGTATACCAGAAATAAACAGAATTTACTACTTATTTAACAAGTTAGATATTTATTTTAAGTTTTATAAATTACCATACAAAATAATAAATGATTATTATATTAATTTATAAAATTAATTAAATATTTATAAACAAAAAGCATATCATCCTTATACCACTTCCGAGTACAGGTATTTCGAGAATTTTTTTTAAAAATACATTATTTATATCATTTCATTCTTTTTTTTTGGTTTCTTTTATGAACAACATGCAAACCTTGAGGATTTAAATTAAGTAAGAGTGGCGGGAAAAGTGATTTAAAGTTTTATAATAAACATATCTCACATTATACCTATTGTCGTTATTATAGTTTTTATTTATACTTTATGAGCGAATATTTATTAAAATAAATTATGACTTCATATTTTGTTTATAGCTTTTTTTGTTGTTGATTTTTTTATATAATCGATTCTGATTTATTAAAAAAAAAGATAGTAAACATCTGGATTAGTTTATTCAACCGAGTTTTAATTTTTCGCACTTATTATTTTTTAAAAATAATGACGTATTTTCGGCTAAAGCGCTAATTTTAAACATTTTTGATGACACTTGATATCTTTAGAAACCTATTGGTAGCAAGGAAGACTAAAATTGTTGGACATTTTATTTGGCTAATCAATCACGATTCTCCGAACCTTCTTGGGGGTAATTTGGTATAAAAGCTAAAGTGTAAGTTACTAAGGCATTGTGCAAATTTTAGCATATTTAGCTCTTTTATTTATTTTTAAACATGGCGGTCCATTTAACCACCAATATGGAGTTTCCATTCTCTTCCATGGGGAAAACTTAGAAAACAGGAAATATTTTTTAATTCAATAGATAGCATCATGGACTGAAGATAATTATTTTCTATATCCATTATCTGGTAAAATAAATTATTTTGATTAATCTATTTTTCAGGGTTAAATAGTTGTTGAAATGCCAATAGAAGGTGAAAAAATTACTTTTATAATTATTTTCATTAAATTTTAGTAATAATTTCTAAAATTAAATATTAATTATAATCAGAATTCTAAAAATAAAGTCACGTGATGCTAATAATCCAAGCGAAATCTGTTGAGGCAGAGTGGTAAAGTGATGAAATTTGGCCCTGACTTCAAAATTCAACCAAAAATACACTTAAAACATTATAATATTCAAGCGATTAAATATCTGATTAGGGGAACTTTTATATGCATTTTTATAAATAATTTATAATCATCAGCTGAAAACATGAAACTAATGAAGAAACATGTTACTTTTTAACAACTATTATTTGTTAATTTTTTTATAAAGGTACTAATCACCATCACACGAATATATTAGTATTATTTTTTTAGGGTAGTGATTTCAACCTTAAATAACAAACGTTCTAACCGCGTAAAGACTTCTAAAAGTTTAGAACTGAAGCTAATAACTCACATTTAGTAAGTGCTAGATAGTCTCGTCGCCTCAGGGGATGGATAATATTATTGGATAATATTTTGATATGACGATATGAAATAGTCCAGTTACTTTTGGGCGGTCTTTCTTTATCCGTTGGAAATTTCAATTTAATTAAAAGATTAATTAGTAAATATTTTTTTAAGGACATGACAAATAATATTTTTAAAAAAAATGTTTTAAATGTCATTTTAAATCACACTGCATTAAAGGTTAAAAAAATGAAAACTTTTAATTGAATGTTCAATAAGCGGAAATTTGATAGGTATTCGAAAACCGATTTTCTAAAAGTGGTCGAACTTGCCCCAGATCAGCTGATAGATTTTAAAAATCTATTTTAGAGATCGATATTTTATTAAAATCATAGATTATTATTATTACCATGAATGGGATTAAAGATAAAATTAATAAAGAAATATTGATTTAATAAATCAGTTATTAAATAGTGTCCCTTTGGACCTTACTATGAATTTGTTTTATATTTCGCTTATAACTTATTTGGTTAATGATGCTTATATTACCTTAAGGTATTACCTATCAAATTTGTATTTTGTTTATTTTTCATTTGGATAGACACTACCAAATATATTTATAATATATACTTAAAAAATCGTGATTTTTGGAAAGCCTCTGTGTCCTTGTCGGCATGAGTGTCGCCTATCAATCCGATGGTCATGGGTTCGAATCCCTGCAATGATCATGTTTTTTTCTTAATCTAACTTGGTGGTTCCGTCCTTGGGGGGGGGGGGTGATATATGCGAGGCTGGGCTCGACCACGTGATTTCGTTATAATATATTAAATAATAACGGTTTTATTACATTTCAATAAATTTTGGTCGGTATTAAGAAAATTGCTAAACGTTGACTTGATAGTAAGCATCATTAATCAACTTATTTCGATTTTCTCACTGGTAAAACTGATTGATGAATTAGTAGATACTAATCAGACATTACATATTGGACACCCAGACATTCCGTGATTCTGTAATTTTCTTTCTAGCATGATGCCAATATTGGCATCCTTTTTTTTGTCAATAATTACGTTTTTATCTTAAGCTATCAACCAAACAGGTTGAGGTACTATAATATACTAAATGCTCCCTAATTATTAATATAAAAAGTTAATGCTTCCAGCAGTTGCCCTGAATTCACTCTTAACACACGATATCATACTTTCTTTTTATTTGCTTCATAATTCGACTTTAATAAGTAAAAAGGCTAATATTAACACAAACCGAGTAGTATTGTTTAAAAGTTCGATTCGGTTTTATTTTTATAAATAAGGTTATATCCAAGATAATATTTTGCAAGCTTGGAGATTTTGCTCATAGCTGTTATAAAGGTTTGGAGACATCTATTTGATAAATCTTGAGGCTTACATAATATTATTTTGGTTTAAAATCTTAATTGGGGTTTTTTAATTAAAATCCTACGGTTTAACAACACTAAAACTGAGGGCCTCAACTTAATTGTTCACCTGAAAAAAAGGTTACGAATTGGTGATGCTAACCACTAATTCATTCATAATTTTGTATAATAGTTGAATATATTCCAAATTTCGATGAGAAATAATTAAAAATTGATTTTTTTGTGTTAAAGCATTGGTGAAAAGTGTATCAAGTAAGGCAAAGATATCCAATTAGTCAAGCCCTAATTTAAAAGATTATCTTTGAGTGATAAAAGAAATTATTGTTTTGTTTATCTAACATGATGCCAAAAATGAAGAAAAATATATAAGGTTTTAATGGTTATAAACATAAGCCTCCCATTTTTTGGGTAATTGTGAGAAACCTCATTAATAATCTTCAAATTTAATTTTTAAAAATATATTCCAAAAAAAATCATGTTGAAAAATTTTATTAAAATATTTTCCAATCCCAATATTCCATTGAAATAAAATTCCCACGAACTCCTTCACAGTTGGAAAAACTGCTTAAAGTGTGAGTGAATCAAGTAGATTAATTTCACTTTCTATAATAATTTTTAACTCCAAAGGGGATTTGAATTTATCATATTTCATTTTACTTAGAATATGACTGATTTTTAGAGAATTCCTACATTATCAATAGTTGATAAAATATTTTTAGATGAATCCATTATCTAAATATGTAAAAAAGGATTTTTAAATAATGAATTAGGTTATTATAAAGCTGAAAAATGAGAAGAACTATCCCTTGTATACCTTTTTCAGAAGTAACCTTTTTTAAAGATTTTTAAGATAACAAAGTTATTCTGAAAAATTAATAATATATTAATATATTATTGGTTTAACAATAAACACAACAGTCCTTTCCCCTATATCGGCATCATGGCTAATGTGATAGTATAATGCAAAATATTTATAAGTTATACATTTTCTTAATATATTTTTATTTAAATGTTATGTTTCAATATCTTGTATAAAATGTTTTCAAGTAAATGCCAAAAATTATTTAATATTATACATACCTATAATTGATTTAATATTGATCCAACAGTACCCAATATTTTAAAAATATATTACAAATAATAATTAAATAATTTTAAAAATTAATAAATAAGAATCCATTAGATGGCGTGAAACTTGAAAAATAAATAAAAGAAGCTTTGCTTATTAAATATTTCCTTTTAAAAAAAAGGTAAAGAAATATGTGGAAAAGTTCTTTTTTTCGTAAATTGGATCACTTATTCTGTTTCGGTTTAGAACTTCGGAGCGATGCCCCTGGAAATTTTTATAAACGATTTTTAGAAAATTTTTAGGTTATGCTAAACGTACAATTTTAGGGTTCTTCGTGGTTATTTTAAAGGATAGGTTTAAAATTGTCTTTAACTTTTGTTAAGTAATGAGAGCCCTTTTTTATTAGAAGTTGTCTAGTCCTTATACATTTTTTAATCGTGATTTCTAGTGTTGTTAAACGGCGCGTTTTGAGGCGATTTTTAAAAATGGCTAACTCAATATTTTAGACTGAAAAATATTGCCTAAGCCTCGGAATTTTGCTAATAGTTGTTTAAATCTTTGTTTCTTTTATAAACAAAATCTTGAGGCTTGTGTAGTATTATTCTGGATGAAAGGTTTAGTTAGCCGTTTTTAAAAATCGGCTCAAAACGAGCCGTTTAACAACTAGTGTTTTCAATTCATTTTTGCCAAGCTAATATAAAATAGTCTTTGAATGTTGTCCGATAGCTCCAAGTAATTTTGTATGAAAGGAAAAAAAGATATAAATTTTCCTAATAGTAAGTAAACCTCAGGCCTGACCCTGGAGTTATTTGTTTCGCAACCTCCCTAAATATTAGATATTTATGACTTTCGATTAATAATCCTTTCGACGTATTGACGTCCTTAATTAAATAAAAAATTATTTATGGATAATAAAATGTATAATTTGATTCGTTTTATTTTACAAAGTAGCAAAAAAGCAACTTTTAAAACTAAATTAGCTATTAGCGTGAAAACAAACTATTGATTTTAAATCGATATTTATATAAGTTAAGAGTATAACTTCAAAAATGATTACAATGCAAAACATTTATCATAAGATGGTGGTGGGCTGAGGCCATATGGTTTAATTTCAGTAATTTTAGGTAAATCCTTAAATTTAGACTTCACGTGCATCTTCAATTTCGTGACACGTTTATTCGAATACGGGTGACATGGAAACAAAAAATAAATTACTATTACTTGTTTCTTAATAAATATCAGAGACATAAAGGCCGGGCCGTATTTTAATTTTTTTAAATACCCTCTCCGAGCCTAAAAATGTTTTTTTTTAAAAAAAAGCCGGACCGAATATTTTAACCAAATATTGTAAATAGCCAATATAATATATGTTAATGTGTTTTTTAACCGGCAATGTGTTATTTTTTTTCAACTTTCAATCATTTATTTTAAGCGCGTTTTTTTTTTTAAATTTAAAAATCTGATTTTACCGGAAACGTATTCCATTATGTTTGATATATACCTACCCTACGAATTTCAGACAATGTTGCCTTGAAAATTTGAACTCGTTATAATTTATATTAGTTTGTCCTAGTGTTGTTAAATTTTATCTAGAATACGCAAGCCTGAAGTTTTTTCTCGTAGATGGGACAAAGGTTTGAACATCTGTTAACGAAATCTCTAAGCTTAAGCAATATTTTTCTAGCTAAGATATCGAGTTAGCCGTTTTTAAAAATCGGCTCAAATCGAGCCGTTTAACAACACTAGTTTTTCCATAGATTTTTCACTTAAATTATAAATGATTCGAAAGTTAACGCTAAAATTATCTACAATTCCTAATATAAGTATTATAAACATGCTGGAATATATTTTCAAATTTAAAAAAAAGCACGCTCAAAAAATGATTTAAAGTTGAAAAAATAAAACATTGCCGCTAACATATATGTATAAATTAAAAGTTTTAAAGTAAATATAATATATTTTTAAGAAAAAACCGGACCAAATTTTTTTTAAAAATCCTGGTCGGGCCTAAAAATATATAAACCCGAGTCGGGCCGAAAATTTTTTAAAATATCTGGGCCGGGCTAGAGGAATAGAATTTCTTTTAAATAATACTTACAAACCATTTTTTTTTGAAATAGTAATATTTATTGTAAATAAATTTTAACATTGATATTGTTATTGCTAGTATTTAATTTATTATGAAAACTTTCAATATTCAAAAAAATTGATACTAAACATATGATGGTATGTTTTCTTATATATTATATAGGTTTAGCTGTAAAAATATTAGGTAAAATAATATTTCTAAAAAAAATGTTTTATGCTAATAATATAGCTAAGAAACTTTAATCTCTTTGTTAGGAACTTACTAATATAGCTATAAAAAAAAATTAAAAAAAAAATATAATCATAAAATATATATGGAACTCTAGTAAAAAGTTACAAGTATGATTTCAACAGATTTTTCCACCAAAAAAATTCGGTTTCGGCACCATTACAATTTTGGACAAGGAGAAAAGGCCTATAATATTTTTTCCACAAAGATTCAGACCGGCGGAGGAGCATTGTTATCGAAAAGGAGTCATTGGCGGTTATATTTGAGCTCATGAAATCTAGAGCATCTGATAGGGCGCAGATTCATTATATATACGGATCACAAACCTTTGATGTATCTATTCAAAAAAGATAACAAGGAATTGATGCTGTCTCCTAGATTGCAGAGGTGGTTGGTATTTGGAAATTTCTGATTAATCATTCGCCAGATGTGTTATCACGATTATGTATCGAGTAAGAAGTGGTAAACAAAGACGAGGATAATTATGATAAAGGAGTAATTAGGAAATTATCTTTCAGGAATGGTCCAGTGACTTGACAAAAAATAAAACAAAGCACGCTAAAGGATGAGGAGTTGAAGAAAATTAAGCAATGTTTAATAGGAGAAAAAATTGGGAAAGGAAAGATAATCTAGAACAAGAAATAACAATTATAGATGGCTGTTTGGTGCGGGGTAATAGAACTATAGTACCGCGAAGATTGAGAGATGTAGTCAGAATGCTGCATGCGGGATATCAAGGGTTAAGCAGAATGAAACAATGGGCTAGAGAATATGTATGATGGCCATCAATGCAAAAGGATATTGGAAGGGTGTGCAGAGTGTTTAACGTGTAATGTTTAATCAAATCTACCAAGAAGGACGAAGTTAATAGCTGAAAAGTAACTACACAGACATATGAACGGATACATTTGGATTTTTTTGAATGGGAGAAGAAGTATTATTTTCTTAAAATGGATGCTTTTTCAAAATGGTTGATTGCTCAAAGGTGTCGAGATTAACGTCAGTTATAGTTATACGATGATTTAAGGAATTTTTGGGAAGTATGGAATGGTGAAGATAATAGCAACTGATGGTGGAACGGCGTTTACAAGTGTAGCGTTTTATGAGATGCACGGTATCGAGCATATCAACGGCTCCAAATCATCCCAGTTCCAATGGTCAGGCCAAGAGAATGGTTGCAGTGATAAAATCGTGGTTGAAAAAGGAAAAGTATGGTGACGGTGAAAGATGGTTATTTCAATTGTTCTACAATAATAGTAGGAATGAAGATGAGTCTCCGGCGGAAAGATTCTTGCGTGTAAGGACATTGTTAATGTTGGATTCGTTAAAAGAAGGAGGAAATGAAAAGGCCGGATACGAAGTAAAGTCTAATAAATTTTGCCTGGGGCAAGAGGTGTATGTTTTGATGTTCAAAGGAAAATTTAAATAAATGATTGGAAAGGTGGTAGTAATAATTGGCAGTACGAAATACAAGGTTAAAGCGGAATAGTATATTGTAGGCATCAGGATCAATTGAGGCCTAGAGAGGAATTTTAAAGGAGGGGAGATGTTGTAATCATGATGATATGAGAGAAGGATATGGTGATATACGAAAGTTTCAAATATAATTTTAAATTGAATTTTTATATAAAAATTATCATATTGGAATTCTGCACGTGGAACCTTATATTCCACGTTTTATTTCTAAAATATTACTATAGTAGAGTTACTGTAAAGAATTTAAATTAAACGTGATTATTAACCGTTATACATTTTGTAATCTATTTTTATTTAAATGTTTTTTAATATCTGTATAAATCGTTTTCAGGTGAAGGCCAAAAATTATCTTATTATACAAACTTATAACTGGTTTAGGTATTCATCCAACAGTACCCATTCTTAAAACATTAATATTTTACAAAGATTAATTGAACAATTTCAAAATTTAGTAAATAAAAATCCATTAGATGGCGTAAAACATAAAAGATTAAATGGAAGCTTTGCTTATAAAATCAAATATTACCTTTAAAAAAAAGGTATACATTTCATACAAACGAAATATATGGATAGGTTTTTTTTTGGAAATTGGATCGTTTATTCATTTTCAGTTTAGAACTAGTTTTATTAAGAAGCTCTTCGGGTCGATTTTTATTATGTAAGCGTAGAGGTTTTTCAATACCCGGGTCAGGCGGGGCCGGATATGTTAAAACCAAATATTGTAAATCGCCATTATTATACATGTTAATGTGTTTTTTTCAACTTTCAATCATTTATTTCGAGCGCCTTTTTTTAAAATCTAATTTTACCGATAATTTATTCCATTATGAGTGGTATACCTACCCTATAAATTTCAGACATGAACTTTTGAACTTAATATAATTTATAAGACATGAACTTTTGAACTTAATATAATTTATATTAGTTATTTTTCACATAAATTATTAATGATCTACAATTCCTAATATAGGTATTCTAAACATGCTGTAATACATAAACGGTAAAATTATATTTTTAAAAAAAAAACTCGCTCGAAAAATGATTTAAAGTTGAAAAAAAATAAATAACATTACCGGTATAAACACATTGTTGTTAATATATATATATATATATATCAAATAAAATGAAATGTTATACTAAGTTTAACTTTGGCAAATTGTTAATTAGCTTATTTATGGATGTAAAATATGATTTTTATTTAAAGTCACGATAAGTGAATAATACTCATAAACTCAAATAGCAAAATAATAATCTGGCTAAAAAAAAATGTGTAAGTATATTTAGGTTAATTTGCATTATTTTGATATTCATCCCAGAAATAATTTTTAAGACAGAAAATAATTTGTTTTGTTTTTAAAAGATGAAAAACTAAAAAAAAAAAAGGCGGGGAAGTGAAGGTTTATTCGGATTATATAAATAAATTTAACAAGTACACATAAATTTGGTTAAATCGATTCAACGCGACATGATAGGTCATAAATTTAAAACTATCACGATTATTTAGCACGTGCAATTGCGAGCAATGAAATGTTTCATGGAATACCACCAATCCTGTTGCCTTTCTTCCATTTCCTGGGCACTTGTACTGCTTGGCAATAGGTTACGAATCCTAAAAAAAACTAATTTGATTCCTAGCAGCAATATTTTGGGTGACTTAAAATTATCCCATAATTTTTAAATAAAATAAATAATATGAAGATAATAAAAATGTGACAAATGAAATTGTCGGATTTATTTTTTCGAAAAGTGGGAGAGTATACTGGACTGTCCACTAATTTGTTTTTCCAATTTTTGTCTTTTCTTATCTTTATATTCGGCTCTCTTCCGTTGATGCTTCTGTTTAGCCATGAGGTCGGGTGCTATACTCGGGTTATTTATGGTCCAAGCGCTTAAGACTGGTCTGGGATTGACCGAGGGGCACAAATCTTTACATTTGGTGGCATTTTTAAAGTTGTCGAGGGACTTTTTAAACGAGTTAGTACCAGTGGAACCCTTATCCCTACCAGTTATAAATTCTATATCGCTGGAGAGAAGAGTGCTACCCGAATTCCCAGATTCCGTTTCCCAATTAGCTTCGTCAGGATCGTCCGCTAAATCAACCACACCATCTGCAGTTGAGATGTCTTTATCAGAATCAGTGTCGTGAATGGTGAGAATAGGAATACTCCTGTTGCTCCTTTCTCCCGTCACAGTTATTTCGTGGTGTGTTACTTCTTTCTGCGACGACGAATCAATCAAGTCAGGTAGGGTAATAATTTGAGATGATGCGGTGGTTGGGCCAAGGCTTAGCGAATCGATTTTGGCATTTAGACTAACATTATTATTATTGTTAATATAACGATTCATTGGGTTATCTTTGTATTTGTACGATACGGGAATATCCGTTAAATTCAAGGATATTGTCATGAGGGATTTATATAGTTCCAAGCATTCTTCCATGTAGATTTTTACGTCTTTCACCTTTATAATACTTTTTAAGATATCATTTGGACATTAAGAGGGAAAGGGGGTTTAAAAAGAAATTTTGTAAAATGAAAACAAAATTTCCCAATCATTATATGTCATATGGGGTGTTTAGCATTCCGAGCAATGTTTAATAAATTAAAACAAAATAAGCATTTTAAAAGAAGTATTTATTTAATTATTTACTCCAAGATAAATAAAACCATCCTGAGATTTTCTTCCCTCCTTTCGAACGTCTCGAGAATGCTGCTAATGAATGCGCGAATATTTCCATTCCGGCTTTAGAAAAGAAAGAGAAAAAATAATAATTACATTTTATTTGTTTCTAATCTCACTTTATTATCAACCACAGGTTTCACAATAGGACCTTTTACAACTAACAATTAAAATTAAACTTCGCAAATTCAAATAAATATATTATTCGTTTCTATAGAGTTTTATAAAATGATAGAATTATGGGTTAATAATAAGTGATCAAATTAAAACATTTTTTATTGGTTACTGGCAATATTATTAATGCCTTTTTAAACAAAAAATATTTTCAAAAATAAGTTTATTACTTAGCAGTTAGAACACTATAATAATTATTTTCACGAACCTGTACAACTTCATCGCGTCACAAAAGGCAAAATATTTGGCCGGTTCGGCCCGCAACGTTTTCCTGCAAGTGGCTAGGAAATGGGGCAAAGATTTGAAACTCTTGATTTTACGAATGTCAGTTTTTGTTGTGCTACTCGTTTTAAAAGGGAATAACAAGGTTTCGGGAGAGATTTTAGAGATCGAAGACACCATATCCATGATATCCTCACGAGAAGAAGAATGGGTGAGGCAAGATGAGTTCTTGGAAGACGATTGTGATTGATTGAGAGTGTTGAGCAACGACAGCAGCATTTGTGGCCCCTGAGTGGAATGAGAATTTTGAGAGGAATGTTCTGTTCCTTTCGTCGTTGGTGGTTGGTTCACTTTACATTTTAATAAATAATGATGTTACATATATCTGAACCTTTATGATCTTGTTATGATTTTTAAAATAATATTAGATTTATCATAAAAAAAATTTCTAAGGATCTAACCAGTTATGTCTACGGACGCTGGTTAGTAATAGTTAGTGTAATGGTTAAAAATCGGCGCTAAATCTATAGGCATGTGCCGAAGAAAATCGTGTATCAATTTTATTTCTGCTTTCTCCAAAATTGAATCATAATTTTCAGGATAAAGAAAAACCCCGAGTCTGAGGTGATAGTTGGTTAAAAATTTAGGATAATCCGTTTTTGAACCGGTTAAAATCAGCGTAAACTAGTTTTTTTAAAAAAAAATGGAATAATTAGAGTACCCAACATATAGGGGAGACCAGGGCTAGTCGGCACAAAGGCTTTGTTGTAGTAGAAGAAAAATTATATATCAATTTTTTATTTTTGATAAATATATATCGATTTTTTTGTATTTTGATATTTAAAAAAAAAGTATATTATTGATTTTGTATTAATACACATTTATTCGCGATTTTTATTGAAAAGGTTAAAATTTTTTTGATTTTAGAAATTATGTAAAAGAATATAAAGAATTTTATTGCATTTCTTCGGATATAAAAAAGATATATTTTTATTGAATTGAAGAAAAAAATAAAATAGTTTTTAAAAAAAAGGAAAATTTGTCATTTTTTGAATCTTACCACATATTTTAGAAAAATAAAATAGTTGTAAAAAAATAGAATTGGTAATTGAGCCATTACCACAGAAGCCATTACCACAGTGGTGCCGTGCATATTTAAAGATACCTACTTTGTAAATAGGTTAGGCGGAAAACCATTGACTACCATTATACAGATTAAAGGCCAAAAAGTATAAAAAAAAATCATGGAGCCGGGGTGTTAACTCCTCTAGGGAGTCACTCATCTCCACCTCCGTTCCATTAACATTAAAATTAATATTTTTTCGAACCAACATTTTCGAATTTCCGACTTCATTCTGAATTTCCTTCTTTCCAAAACCCATTGTTGTCCCACCTGGAACCTTTTCATTTTCAGCTGCTTGGCGGAATTTATATAACAAACGTCTTTCTGCGAACTCTTCGCCTTCCCGGGCTAATAATCTTGCGTCATCAAATATTCTCCGCTGTTGACCCCAGCCCAACGATTTATCCCATCGTTTAACTTATATGAGCTGCTTGTTCCACTTGCACTTTCCTGGGCAGGAGTCACTCATCTCCACCTCCGTTCCATAATAATAATAGTTTTTATTATTTTTGTTGGTGGTAAAAAAAAGAAAGAAATTATTGTGTAGTATCCATTTGTGTAAATTGTTGTTAGTTTTTTTTTTAAATCAAGAGAAAGAAAATTTTGAATTTATGGAGACCTACTACATAAAGACCAATAGAACCATGTTGCAGATTAATTCTTTAGACATGAAGAGTCCACTAGCGGACAAATGGCACAATGCGTGGATTGATCAACAGACTGGAGAAGGAGCCCTGTCGACAACCTCGTATGGTCTAACGTCCTAGCAAGGTAGGGCAACATTACAAGCAAATTACGCGTCAGGGCCGGCAACTATTCAATCGCGGCAAATGGGAATGAGGGAGCTCAGTTTAAACTGTTTCAATTGCGTGGGAAGAGGACATAAAGCCCTGGAATGTGCAAGTGGAACAAGCAGCTCATATACGTTAAACCATGGGATAAATCGTTGGGCTGGGGGCCAACAGTGGAGAGTATTTGATGACGCAAGATTATTAGCCCGGGAAGCCGAAGATTTCGCAGAAAGACGTTTGTTGTATAAATTCCGCCAAGCAGCTGAAAATGAAAAGGTGCCAGGTGGGATAACGATGGGTTTTGGAAAGAAGGAACAGAATGAAGTCGGAAATTCGAAAATGTTGGTTCGAAAAAATATTAATTTTAATGTTAATGGAACGGAGGTGGAGTTGAGTGACTCCCTAGAGGAGTTGATCATTAACGCCCCGGGTCCATGATTTTTTTAAGTTGCGTAAATGTTTTTTTTATAATAAATTAATTTTAAGGAAATTTAGTTTTTTTTGTATTGCGTTTATTTTTTAGCATATACCCTGGAGTTCATCCTTAGAAGGGGGTACATGTTGTAGTAGAAGAAAAATTATATATCGATTTTTTATTTTTGATAAATATATATATCGATTTTTTTGTATTTTGGTATTTAAAAAAAAGAAGTATATTATTGATTTTGTATTAATATACATTTATTCGCGATTTTTATTGAAAAGTTTAGAATTTTTTTGATTTTAGAAATTATGTAAAAGAATATAAAGATTTTTGTATTTCTTCGGATATAAAAAAGAAAAATAAAATAGTTTAAAAAAAAAGGAAAATTTGTCATTTTTTGAATCTTACCACATATTTTAGAAAAATAAAATAGTTGTAAAAAAATAGAATTGGTAATTGAGCTATTACCACAGGCTTGTCGGCAACGGATTTTATTTTAAAACCAGTAACCTTTATAAAGTAAAATTTGGTCTAAAATAAGAATTAAAAGTTTAAACATGACAAAATGGACAATATATGAAAGTTAAAACTCTTATTTTAATATTTAGGAAAGCTTCGGATTGATATGTAAGGTTTAAATATATGTTAAGATTGTATTAGTAATATTACCCCGATTGGGGTTAGTAGAATCGTAGCTTGTCAGCACAATCAATCAATTTTTATATTATTTATTATGGTATTCAAATATATAAAAATTAAAAATATTCTACACAAAAGATTATGAAGACGCCACAAATTGCGATTCTATTAATCATTATCAATCAAAATTTTATTAATAAAATCCTTCTTTTTAAAATTCTTTTCAGAAACATTTTTTTAATATACATAAATCAAACTGAGATTAAATATCAAATAATTTATGATTCTATTTCTAATTTATATTGATGGAAAAAGAAATATATTTACTAGATTATTACAACATAAATTTTATTTTTAGATTTTAAAATTTAACAAATATATATCCATAAGAGGGCGTTAAATGCATAAATATAAAAATATCATATTAGGAAACCTGAATAATTATTGGTTAGCGCTTATTTTTATATTTGGGTGTAAATACATGTGGAAAACCTAAAAATTAAAAAAAAAATGATAGGCTTCTTTGATACTTAATATATGAGTAGATTTAGAGTCGCAAAATAATAGAAAACTTGTAAGGCACATATTGCTGGCGTTATTGATCAAAATCTCTTCATTTTTGTTTTACAGGTAAATAGTAACATGTTAATCGTTATACCAATAATATTGTGATTTGACAGATTGGCGAGCTCAAAACCGACAACTTACTAAATATTCGATTGACCGAATTTTGCTAGTAATATCAATTGAAAAATGTTCATTTGTGTTTTACATATCTATAAATACGTGTAAAACATTATCCCAAAAAATATTTTAAGAAATATTGTGATTTGACCACCGATTGATTAAATACTGCATTGCTGGGCGTTATCCATGGGAAATTCTTTATTTTTGGTTTATACGTGTACATTTAGGTGTTAAGCATTGTCCAAAAAAGTATAATGATTTGACCTCTACTCGACTCATAACCAACCAATTAACAGTCAAACAATAATATTTTCAAAATTTATTTTGGAATAATGTATTAAACATAATATCAGTTATTATTCTAAAAAAAGTAACCTATGACAGGGGATATTTTTTTTATAAGAGATATTCAATTCATACTGGTCAATCGAATATTCAGTAAAAAGGGTTTTAAGTTCTGCAATGGATCAAATCACGATATTTTTATTTTATGGGATAATGTTTTACACGTATTTATATAGATAAATAAAACAAAGATTTCGACTAGCCCCATCGATGATCTGACTAACCACGGATTTGGGGTAACTAGGTTCAAAAAATCACTACTACTAAACCTTTTTTAGAGAAAAAAATATTATATAAAAAAATATAAAAGTGTATATTTATAGTTATGTTCAAAGGTATCGATTGGTATTTTTGCAAGAAAGGTAAAATTTTAATTTCTCTAAATTTCTTGTCTTTCATGATATATTTATAATATGCGGAATATTCCTTAATTTTAAAATTGTAAAAATGTATAATGAATGATATAAATTATTAATCTTAAGAACGGGTTAATTTCCGTGATTTAAATAAAGCGTTTAAAATATTGAGTGTCAATTTTATACCATTATTCAAGATGTTTTCATTAGAATTCCAGCCATTTTCTTGGTAGCTAGTATAGTATTGAGACTGAATGGATTCTATATCGATCACAGAATCGGAAGAACCGGAAGTAGCGCTAAAATAGACGTCGGAATCATCGTCATTTGGAATCGAAATAAACGCTGGCTCCTTCTGGTAATGCGATTTTTTTTGATCTTGAGCAAGGGTTGGAAGTGGTGGGGGAGGGGAGAGAGGGATAAGAATAGTCAGTTAGATACAACAATATTATATAACGTTATAAAAAACGAATGCCAAAATTTTCTATTAATTATCGTTGTAAGGGAGACAGAATAGTTTGTACAACATGCCTTTCCCTGCTGTGCACATAATAAAAGATAATCTAACATTTTTATTCATGAGCCTTTACTTTTATCACGTGTGGCTAAAATTCTGTTATCCTTGAAAAAAATATATCACACTTTTATGTTGTATTAGAATGATAAAGATTCATTATATTTTAAATGATTATTATTTATGGCTGTATTAGAATGATAAAAATTAATTGTATTTTAAATGATTATATAATATATATATATATTACGAACCTGTTGTTAGCCATGTATTTTGTTTATTTTTGTGGAAAAAGAAAAATACAGTGGCAACAAAGGAAAAGCAGATTCATTATTTTATTTTTGTTGAAAAAGAAGAAAATTTTATGATTTATAAATTATTGAAGAGAGATAAATTAATAAAGATTCATAAATTAGAGAAGAGACAAAGAAAATATATAATTAATAAAGGTAAAAATACTTTCAATTTAAGGATACTTTCAATTTAATTTACGTTCATTTTAATTTACTTTCATTTTAATTTACTTTCAGTTTAATTTACTTTCATTTTAATTTACTTTCAATTTAATTTACTTTCATTTTAATTTACTTTCATATTAATGTACTTTCATTTTAATAATGCCGTGTAGTTAATTTTTACATAGGGGTTTATGTGGACACAAACATATTTTTTTTAGGGGGAACATAAGGTCTTATTCAATTAGAATTAATTTTAGATTTTAAAAGTAATAAATATATATCTCTTCCCCCTCCCAGCTCTATGTATAAATTATTCTATTCTAATTTTTGTTTGATCATGGTGACGAATACCCTCCGTCCCATTTTCAAATTTTATACGATTTAATTTTTTTCCTAAATTTTCTATTACTATACCTCTTTCCCATAATTTATCCTTATTATTATAACATCTAGCCCATATTATTTGACCCATATGATATAAAGTACTATTGATTTTATTTGATAAAACCTCTATATCACCTCTTGGTTTTATAAGATCCAATAATACTTTCGCCCTTCTTCCCAAAAACCTTTCAGTTAGAGTAAAACCTCTACTGTTCTTAGAATTATTATAATATAATTGTGCAATCCACACTTATTAAAATAAAAGTACATTAAAATGAAAGTAAATTAAAATGAACGTAAATTAAAATGAACGTAAATTAAAATGAAAATAAATTAAAATGAAAGTAAATTAAATTGAAAGTATCTTTAAATTGAAAGTATCTTTACCTTTATTAATTATATACTTTCTTTGTCTCTTCTCTAATTAATTATATATTTTCTTAGTTTCTTCACTAATTAATGAATCTTTATTAATTATATATTTTCCTTGTCTCTTCAATAATTTACAAATCATAAAATTTTCTTCTTTTTAAACAAAAAGAAATTAATGAAAATCCTTTTCCTTTGTTGCCACTGTATTTTTCTTTTTCCACAAAAATAAACAAAATACATGGCTAACAACAGGTTCGTAATATATATATTATAATCATTTAAAATACAATTAATTTTTATCATTCTAATACAACCATAAATAATAATCATTTAAAATATAATGAATATTTATCATTCTAATACAACACGTCCACCCCATTAAGGTTTAGTGTATATAATCTCCTTCAATCTTCTTCTTCTAATAATGTCATTTCTTCCATATGACTCATGATATACCCAATCTCCAATTCATCTCTCATTTCACCCAATAATTCATCTTCTTCCTTCTGTAGCCATATATCCTTATCTTGAGTCATACCAGGTAATGCCTTTTTCTCCGATCTTATATTCACTTTATTGGAAATTTCTGGACATATATCCTTGGCACCTAAAGGATACCTTTCAAATCGAAACTTCTTAGAATATACTACTGTTTTAATTCCTTGTATTTTTTTCTTTCGATTCCTGAATCTTTTCCTTTGACACTGAATCTTTAAATGTCCCAACTTTCTACAACGAAAACATTGACGTATCCGTCTTAAATCATATGGGTCTAATATTATGGGCTAGATGTTATAATAATAAGGATAAATTATAAGAAAGAGGGATAGTAATAGAAAATTTAGGGAAATTAAATCGTATAAAATTTGAAAATGGGACGGAGGGTATTCGTCACCATGATCAACAAAAATTAGAATAGAATGATTTATACATAGAGCTGGGAGGGGGTAGAGATATATATTTATTTTTGCATTTTAAGATTTGATGGCAAAAGTATCATACTTGCCTTTTAAGACACACATCATGAAAAATGTGATATTACCAATTAATTATTATCCATTGTCGATGAAGTGGGAGGATAAATGGAGGCAACAAATGAATGGAAACACGAGGATAACGTGGGAGAACTGTTGGAAGATGAAGAAGAATGTATGTTGTCGAATGGATTTGATATAAGATGGATGCGTCAATGTTTCCGTTGTAGAAAGTGGGGACATTTAAAGATTCAGTGTCAAGGGAAAAGATTCAGGAATCGAAGGAAAAGAATACAAGGAATTAAAACAGTAGCATATTCTAAGAAGTTTCAATTTGAAAGGTATCCTTTAGGTGTCAAGGATAGATGTCCAGAAATTTTCAATAAAGTGAATATAAGATCGGAGAAAAAGGCATTACCTGGTATGACTCATGATAAGGATATATTGCTACAGAAGGAAGAAGATGAATTATTAAGTGAAATGAGAGATGAATTGGAGATTGGGTATATCATGAGTCATATGAAAGAAATGACATTATTAGAAGAAGATTGAAGGAGATTATATACACTAAGGCTTAATAGGGTGGACGTGTAGTATTAGAATGATAAAGATTCATTATATTTTAAATGATTATTATTTATGGTTGAATTAGAATGATAAAAATTAATTGTATTTTAAATGATTATAATATATATATTACGAACATGTTGTTAGCCATGTATTTTGCTTATTTTTGTGGAAAAAGAAAAATACAGTGGCAACAAAGTAAAAGGAGATTCATTATTTTATTTTTGTTGAAAAAGAAAAATACAGTGGCAACAAAGTAAAAGGAGATTCATTATTTTATTTTTGTTGAAAAAGAAGAAAATTTTATGATTTATAAATTATTGAAGAGACAAAAAATATATATAATTAATAAAGATTCATAAATAAGAGAAGAGACAAAGAAAATATATAATTAATAAAGGTAAAAATACTTTCAATTTAAGAATACTTTCAATTTAATTTACTTTTATTTTAATTTACTTTCAATTTAATTTACTTTCAATTTAATTTACTTTCATATTAATGTACTTTCATTTTATTTTATACCATTTGTCTCTTAAAGTTGGGAAAAATATTTTAATTTTACCTTTGGGGATAATTATGTTTGTCGCCAGACAAATAAGAAAGGGTTTACTCCTATGGAGGAGGGGGTGGGGAATGAAACTTAGTTTGATTTCAAGATTAGGGAAGATGTAATTAGTAAAATAAATTTATTATTGAAAATCGTAGAATATTATTTATTTTCACATAGTTCCAGAATATATGATGGCTTGGATTCTTTTTTGTACCAATTAATGGATATGGTTCATAAAATATCACGACCCCCTTTTCCTAATTATGTTGGATCATTCCATAAACATTCATAATGAAACGCTTAATTGTAGATTAGTTTCATTTCATTTATATTTAAAAACGTATGACCGACCCCCCCCCCCTCCCCCCCCAATAATTGAAAATAAAGATCGAATACTCCGTACCATTAGATCTAAAAAAAATAAATTGTTAACTTACTAAAATATAAAAAGACATTCTGATTTCAAAATGAATTATTTTTTGATTTCCGCTAATGAATAATCCTCTCACCTACAGTTGAAACGAAGATGTTACAAAAGGTTTTAACTTTATATATCAGATGGAAATATACTTTTCTGATATAAAATGAGAATGCTCCATTTTATTATCGAAGGGAACTCTTAATATTCTTAGGCCCTTCTCAGTTCGGTGTGACGGGTAAGCAGACGATATATACAATTGAATGAGTACCCATCCATGCCCAAGTGTTTACTAAATAAAAACTCACAACCATATAATTATAGTTTGATGTATTTTCATAATATTACATTTATTTCAAAAGATAATCATTCCATAATCCAGCAATTGCGATATATATAAAGAGGCCTCCATTACAAATATACAACAAAAATTATATTAATTACAGATTAAATGTAATTTTAATTTTTACCAAAAATCCTGGATATTGTTAAATATGATGGTTAAAGAAGGATTAGTAACATGCGAAGTTTTGTTACACCAAACCAATTTACTATTTAATATCCTACCCCCACCCCCGGCCTACACCGCCAATATTTCCTAAACAAGCAATAAATTAATTACTCACAAGATCCCAGCCAATCGGTTGTTTCCATAGCTGGCGGTTTAGAGCTTACCAATTTTTTCACTTTCTTTCTCCTGGGTATCATTAAATCGTCTCCGCTTTCGTGGGACGTGTGAAGAGCCGGCGGGTAATTTACGAAGGCCGCATTAAAGAATCGCTTGATTTGAGATATGAGTTGCCCAAAATTTGGAGTTATTTTTAGCCTAGGACTAAGCCATTTGGATAAGCCACATTCTCTTTTTTTTAAAAATTTTATAAGTTAAAAAAATATAATGTCGTCAAATATGTTCAAAAGAGTACAAAGTTTAAATTGTGTCCTATATTATTTTCGTTCAGGATTTCAATATTTTCCACGTAAAATAAATCAAATTTTTTAAGACAACAAAAACTGATAGATATAAAATAAATAATATAATCCAATAATAAACAAAGAAAAAATAAATAACTTATTGTTTGCGTGACAAAATCGTTCGTCGCATAATAAGATGGCGCCGAAATCGGCTTTATGTCGAATAACCCGGCCTACGGCTTGATTGACCGCTCGGTCGGCTTCGAGTCTGTACCAAGCATTCCCGTCCAACATCGTGTCCCACCCATCCGCACTTATAAATAATACGTTTAAAATTATGAAAGAAAAATATTTTACTTTCTAAAAGTTAAAATAAAATACATCAATTTAGAATTTTTAAAAAAAACATATGTAAAACAATTACAAATCAAATTTGTAAGAATATGAAAAAACCGTTAGATTTTCAATTTGAACTCTTTAGGTCATAAAACTTAAGGAAATTTTCCTATAAAAAGTTTAGTTTTTTAAGCCTATAGAACTGAAGAATAGCCCAGGACTATAAAACGACTAAGGGTCGCATCTATTAGGATGTAGTAAATGGAATAGTTATTGATTTTGTTGACCTCTAAGAAAGAAAGAAGCTTTTCTTTTCTATATATTATATTACATTATTTTATTACATATCAAAAAAAAATTAACCTACCCCGGATTTTTACTTCAAAAGGCGGGGTACATGATGCTTATTTAGGTTATGTAATTTTTTTATATATAAAATAATATTGGCGGGAAAAAAAGAAATAATTATTGTTGATTTTATCGATATTAATTAATTAATTTTTTTTTGTTTTGGAATCTGAAAAAAAAAATAAAATATTTAAAAAATGTGTAAAATATGAATCTTAGTAAAAAAATCTTAAGTGCTAAAAATTGTGTTCCAATTCCAATAATAAGCTTATTATTATAACGACTAACTCAATATTTTCGCCAGAAATATATTGTCAACTAGACTCAGCTAACAGTTTTCTAAAGCTTTGTGCCATCTGTGATCAAAATATATAGGCTTGCGTAATATTTTTTTTCTAGACAATATATTGAGCTAGCCGTTTTTTAAAAATCGGCTCAAATAGAGCAGATTTAACACCGCTAGTGCAGATTCTTTTGTCACAACCTATAAACAACATTAATTAAATGCTAACTCGTTCGATCTTCGTTCCGTATTACCCCGATACTTTTCGTTCATGAAGTCGATCTTCAAGGTGATCTTGGGGTCAGTTCGAGCGGGGTAAGGTAGACCACATATGAGCACGGCTCTAGCGTAAGAATCGGCGAAGTCAAAACCCTCGCTAAGTTTACCCCGACAGACTCCCATCATGATAGCGGACTTTGATTTTTAATTTTTTCGAAGGAATTTGAAATAATGTTCTTTATAAAAAATAATAAAAAATCTTCAAAGATTTTTTGATATTCCTGACAGAAAATCTTGAAGGAATTTGAAATAATGTTTTTTATAAAAAATAATAAAAAATCCTCAAAGATTTTTTGATATTCCTGAAGAAGAAAAAAATTTCAATTTTTCTTCTCAGAAAATCTTCTTTTTTTTTCTTTCAAACTCTGAAATAATTGACATCTTTGATTTTGGGTCCATGCCCATTAAGATTATAACCAAAAAAAACATTATGTAAGCCCCTAAAGATTTTGTTCGTAGCATGGCAGAAAATGCTTGGACATCTATTTTGCCAAATTTCGATGCTAACATAATATTAATTTTGGCTAAAACCTTAATCGGCCGGTTATAAGAAATCGACACACTAATAGGGCTTTTAAACAACACTACAAGTATTCTCGCTAACTTAAATTTTGATATTGCTAGAGGATATTAATTTAATTTTTTTAAAAAAAATTAAGGGGATTGATTAATAATTTTATTTTTTCATTTTGAATCTATATTTTTTAAAAAAAATTAATATTTTTCCCTTTTTCCATTCATTTCTTCTATTTGATCTTCTTTCCTTTCCTTCCGTCTTTCAAATTATTTTAGAATACATTTCATATCAAATAATATATTCTTAATTCTTCCTCACGTTAGTTTTTGTGTCTTGAACACTTGAGATGGAATCCCCGCCATCTATGGAATCGTAGTAAGATGAAATCTCTTGATTAAGTTTATCTTTAGCTTTTTTTTTGTTGATTTTAAATATTTTTTTTTTAAAAAAATGAAAGAGAGTGGGAGGAGGGGGGGGGGTATTAGAATGAAAAGAAACTTTTAGGTTCTATATAGACGGGTTTAATCTTTTCTAAGGATGTCCAAATACCGCTATCTTTTTTCCAGAATTGAACGCAATGATCCATCTGGAAGTAGGAAGGGAAGAATACCAAGATGCCCCCTTGAATTATTCTAGACAGGTTTAAGATAGTTAAGCCGAGAGAGGAAACGTAATTAGTGCTACTTCTTTATATTTTATTTTTTAAATTTATTTTATAAAATTAAAAAAAAAAATTATCTCCCTTTATCTATTCATTACCACTATTGTTTGGATTAAAAATTTCAAAAAATCGCATTCATTCATTTAGAAAATAATTCGTTTTTTCCATTATTAAAAGAAACCTATTCTTGTAAGATGAATTGAGAGCCGTTCCATCAGGCCCCTTCCCGAGTGCAGAAACAAGGACTTGATCGGCATTTATGATGTGCTCGTTTTCCAACCTCACGTCAAACTTGACATTCATTATGGAGGAAAATGTTGATATTGGAGATAGAGTTCCGCTTGTTAATATCATGCATCTAATGCCTTTTTTGAATAATTCCTGTAAAAAAAGTATATTATTTAAATTCTTTATTTATTTCCCCATTCTCTCCTTATTCCTAATTTTTTTGTAATTCGATAAAATACTTACATTGGTTTCTATTGGCGTAGTTAAAGTATCCGTTTATATGTTTGCGGGGGGGGGGAATAACTGATTGTAATTAGATAATTGTTCTAAAGTAACTTAAACAACTACATTATTTACGAATAACAATTATAAAAAAAATAACTTTTATTGTATGGCTAGGGCTAAAACACCAAAGACTCAGCACTCTCTGGGTGTTCGGTCTAACGGTAGGCACGCTCACACCGCCCAGTTTCACCCACGGAGGATTTTTATCGTAGCGTAAATGAACCTAATTTCGATTTAATTCATAACTTTTAGTGGACTATTGCGATCGCGATTTAACAGCTGAGATTTTTTTTTAAAAAAAATCTGTTCTTGATCAAATTTTTCTTCATTAATATCATCATCTTTTAGATTATTATTATTATGAATTGAAATTAAAGATAAAAATTTGTATTTAATAAATAAAAAATGATCTCATAAAAAAACACATTTTAAAAATCGATCAGCTGTTAAATCGCGATCGCAATCGCGCCGCCATAAATTTAAGGTAAAAAGAGAAAGGATATGAAAGCGCAAAATGAAATTGAAATAAATTATTTGAAAGCGTGGTATAATAATTAATAAATTAAGTGAACTAATTGTAATATAATCAATTAACCTCAAAAAGACATTGTTGTTAAACGGCTAAATCAATATTTTATCCAGAAAAATATTACGCAAATCTGAAGATCTTGCTCATAGAAGGAACAAAGGTCTAGGCATATATTATCAAAATCTCGGGGGGCTTCAGATATTTTTCTGACTAAAATATTGAGTCATCCGTTTTTAGAAATCGGCTCAAAACGAGCCGTTTAACAACACTAATCAAAGGCAATTAATAATATGATTATTTGATGTATTTAGATTGATTTGTGAAAGATATATAAACTGAAGTACAAAATATATCAAGACAGTTAAAAAATATAATAAATTCTTCAATAATAGTTAAATATGTCACCAATAAATTAAATCAAAAGAAAAACAAATATTTTTTTAACCCCTTTTGTCAAACAAAATTAAATATTTTACTTACAAAAATTTGAATAAGCGTAAAAACAGACGATTTTTTTTATAACTTTTAATAATCTATTCCGAAACAAAATACTTCCAAAATAAAAATAATATGGAAGATCGAACTTCAAAAACATTAAATACTACCCCCCCCCCCCTCCAAACTTTTACCAGACATATTTACATTACTTTTATTTAAATTCCATAAAGATAAGATCAAATCTTATAACAAATATAAAGGCAGGTCTATTTTATCCCTCAGCTGGGAAATGTCGCTCGGCTAACCATATAGCTCGTTTTTCCATAAATAATTTTTTTTTGGGGGGGAATGTATAATAAACATGTTCATATGGCAAAAAAAATATTTAAATTTTTCATTATTACTAATAATTGTATAAATCGTTTAATTTTTTTGCATTATATATTTGGTTCATTCCGAGAAAAATAAAATCCCATTAAAATATAAAAATTTTTTTTTAGACATAACAGCAATTTACAAAATATTATCGGTATTCTAAAGAAATATTGGATATTTACGATTGTTTTTTAAATAGCATTTCTTGACTACGATTAAGGCGAAATTTATTAAACACATTCAAAATAATCCTTTTTTCTAAGAGGACTCAGAGGAAAAATATATCAATGATATTTGTTGAACAAGTTATCTGATGATGAATCACATATGAGTGAAAATTTAAAGATCATGAATCCATTATCAATAAAAAAAAATGTTAAAATTTATATTGAACATAATCATGCAAGATCTAATTAGGGAAATGGACCAAGAATCTACAAAATCTTTCATTAGAAGATATTCAAATTTTGATAAAAATTAAATATATTCGATATTCTAAGAAATATTGAATAATTACAATTTTTTATTTATAAACATTTCTTGATTTAAGAAAAATTTATTTAAACACATTCAAAAATTTATGATTTTAAAAATTTTTTAAACGCCATCTAGCGGATAGAATATTATTTTTCTACATTTATAAATATTTTAAAAATAGGGTATAAGTAAATTGAAATTTTTTTAAAAGTATTGAGTCTAAAATCTTTAATAGATAATTTATTATACCTATTCAAACATTTATTTTTACTAATTAATTTGAATTAATATTAGGAAAGTAAAAATCCCACTGGAATAATGATTGAAAAAATATAATACATAAATAAAGGACTTTTTTTTTACAAAATAACAATAATCTTCAATGGCATAAATAGATAATTTCCTGTTAAATTATTATCAATTTTTCTTTTTCATCATTTGATTCTTTTAATATATATATATATATAATACTTTATTTAAAAAACAAATTTTTCTTTTACAAATTACAATTAAAAATATATATTAGAAAACAAATAAATTAAAAATATATATACATTACCGGCCATAAATGATTGCCCACCCTGTATTTTCTTAACATTTTTCTTAAAATAAGACAAATAACACACAATATGAGGTTTATCAAATTTATTTATAAGTTTACATATTATTATATAAAATTACAAAAAATAAAAGACATAGCAATTAAGTAACATCTAAATTTTGGTCTCATCAATATCCACCTTTATTCTCAATAATTGCTGCACAAATTTTTGATAATCTTTCGATGAGATTTTTTAAATATTCGGAAGTGATATTATTCCATTCTCTCTGTAATACCTCCCAAAGGTGCGAATGAGAGGTTAGAGGGCTTTTTCGCGCTTGTCGATCAAGGTGATCCCATAAAGTTCGGATTGAGATCGGGAGACTGGGATGGCCAAGTCATCAACTCGAGAATACCCTGTTGTTGTAGATTTTGTAAATAATCTTTGCATAGCCTGGATATATGCTTTAGGTCATTATCTTATTGAAATAAAAAGTTATTCCCGATCAAACTTTCCTGATGAAATCACATGGTCCTCAATGATTTGCCGGTATCCCTCCTTGTTAAGGATTCCTTTAATTTTGACAATGTCGCCGGTTGCCACGGCACCAAAGATCCCTCACACCTTAATAAACCCTTCCCCGAATTTGATTGTAGGAATTATGCAGTGATCGCTTATTCGCTCTCCAGCTGAGTGGCGGACATATTGAAGATTATTTTTAAGTTTTATGACATACTTATATATATTAATTAAAGCATATATTTCGTCGGCACATGTCCTTGGCCTGCTAGGGGTGGACATGATGTAATTATAAGAATAAATATGTTATTTTTTTAAATTGTGATTATATGATGATTGGATTTTTTTTCTTCTCTTTTTAATTTTTGAATTTTAAATAAATAAAATTAATTTTAACGTTTTTATTAACTCCCATTCTCTGCTCCAGATGAACGTGTGTTTAGCACAGCAAAAGCTGCGTTGAGCATTCAAGCGTACTTGTATATGTGATCAAAATTTTGAAAATCAATTCTTGTTATAAATAAATAAATTATTAACAAAAAAAGGATCTACTCTTACAATATATTTATCTTCGCATAATTTTAATTTTTAATGTATGAAGGAGGAAAAAAAAATTATATATAATATTTTGTAAATTATTTTTAAAGAATAGCGAGTAGCGCGTTACTTGTTTAAAGTAACGGCAACACTTTCAAAAGTAACGAGTATATGTTTTGAAGTAACATTTACAGCACTAATAAATATGTTTGGATGAAATAAATCTTAATAGCTAGAACAACTAACTGAGCCTCGAACTTTGGACAAAATTATTAAAATTTAAAATGTCAGAAATATTCATAATTTTTATTTTTCAAAATGTCTAACTTTTAAACATAAAAAATAAAAAAACCTTAAAATTTTTCATGTTTTCCTTGACCATCTTTTTGAGGTCCCGGTAATGATTCTTGTATTCGTTGTTCATGATAGCTAACCGATCAACGCGAATATCGAATTTTTTCGCCAACAAAGTCTTTAGCCCATTTTTCTGAGAATTCGCACTGCAAATTTTAAATATCGTAAAAAAATTTTTTCCCCATCTCTATACACTATATACGAAATGAATCATTTAATAATTATTTTTCATCCTAATTCATCTCTTGTATTTTTAAAAAATTGTTTTATTTCTAAACTCAGATAAAAAAAAGGGGGGGGGGAGTAAATAATTTAGAAAAACTTGTCATTTTCAGATTTTTTTCTAGGAACTCCCGTGTTATCAATCGACTCCATCTCCTCGCCATTCCGACCTTAGATAAATATTTAAAGATCATATTTATTTATCATTTTTATGATTAAACAAAATAATTGTAAAACTGTTATCTAAATTTTAGTGTCCAGTTTCGTTTCATGGTCATAAAAATATCCGATAAAAATTCGAAATTCCTGCTTTGAAACCGAATTGTTTTTTTCCTGGAATATTTTTTTAGGACCTGATGGGAAGATCATATGTTGGATGCGAGCTAGCAGATAAAAAAATACTTGAAATACCGATAAACTTCGGCGAACTCAACGGCATGGTTCGTGGTAGTAAAAGTAAGTCGAGGTTGGGATAAGATAAATTGTGTGTTCGGAAAAAAAATTTTTTAAATTTTTAAAAATATAATTTTAATGTTTAATGGCTTTGTTTATTTCATCAAGGGCTAGAAAGTGTGACGGCCATTCAAGAACTACGTAATTAGGATCACTTACCAATATATCATTGAATTCTGTTTTATTGTAAAAAAAATAATAAATAGTGAGAGGACTTAAAGGATTCCAGATTTTGTTGGTAGTGTGGTTTGTAACCAGCTATTATTGGTGAAATTTAATGTTGACTGTATTCTTCAATATCGATTAAAATTTTTGTTCATATTTTAAACATATAGATGGAAATAGATATGCACTAGATGATCTGAAGCATAATTGTATTTTGGGAATATTAAAATTTTTTTAAAATTAAATAAAACGCCATACGGGAAGGGAAATACTTGAGAATATTTTCTTTTTGAATAAAGATTTGTCACATTGTGTTATCAAAAAATGTTTGGATACATAAAGATCGATCCCACAACTGGTGATCCGAGAACGAAGATTTTTCCTTTAGCCACACGAGTAAAAAGATCACTATTTGGGGAAGAAAAATTTGCAATTGAGTATATTTCACTTTTTTAAAATAATTTAAACAAATTTAGCTGTTGAAAATTTAAAAAATAATGACGTCTACAGCTTCAGTTATTTGACTGATAGGACCCGATAATGTGGCATCATCCAAATACCAAACATTGAAATCGAGGTTACAATTGGTTTTTCTATATTTTGGATGATGATGCTGTTTATAGCTTAGAAGTGGACAGAGTGGATCCCCTTGTTGAATTCCTTGTGCCGAAAGGATAGTTTGATTGTCATATCGTAATATGGGTAGGGGTACAACAGATTGACTGGATATAGTTAAAATAATCAAGGTAAACTTCTAAGAATCTTTGGATTTTAGAAAATTAGGATTTAAAGTATTGAAGGCATTTTTTTCGATTTGTTTATGAATATAGGTCTAATAAGTTGTATCGTTTTATAAATATGTATAAAATGCGTAAACCAACCTTCAGATGTCTCCGATGAAAGACCGAAAAGGGTCCTAACCAATACGGCCATTTTTTCCAATCCCCCGACATCCGGGGCCCGGCCTATTTCACGTGACGTCAACATACCTAAGGCGTCGGCCGCTTGAGTCACATAGCAAGCTATCCGCTCTAATAGTTCGATAAATGTCCGAGCATCACGTAAGTCCTCCATCATAAAAGCTGGCAACCATTTTTTTTTAAAAAAAAACCTTATAAGAGCAAATAATCTCTTAAATGATTAAATATGTATCCGCTAAAAAAATGGAATATAAATTAATCAAATATCATCTATTTTCCGACCATCTAAATTCGTTATATATCTATGACATTTGGAGATTGAGACAACGATATTCAACTGCTGTGAGCAATTTTATTTAATAGTGTAATATTAAAAATTGCATTAATTTAAAATTATAAAATGCGATATCTTCAAACTGCTAGAAAATATAGATTGGGAGAGCTACCATAGAAATAGTGCGGAAAACAAGTGATCCAATAGATACAATTCTTGTATCAGTTGGAATTTACACGTTTTTTTTTAAAATAAAACTAACCTCGGGATAACAGTTCATCTGCTAGATATTCTATGGATAGAACACTACCGCTCGCGTTGAAGTTTTGGGCAGGTGCTAAAGGGAAAGTATCCATAAGATTTTCTAAGTTAAGGAAACACTCTTTAACTCGACTGTTTTTGTTGTTTTATTAAGAAAATTTAAATGTAAATACAAATTTGGCTTGGTAGTAAATTTTATAGGGAGTTAAAAATAGATTATTCCAATTGAATCGGATTTACTTAAATCTAATTTGAGTATCTTTTAAAAAAAATATGAGTATGAATAAAAGATTACGCTAATTCCACCAAAGTAAATTCACTTCCGGGGGTTTCTTGCCCGCTTACCAGCTCTTTATATGGCTGGTAATGAGTGCCACTACCTTTGCGATTGCGCAATTCATCAATCGCTGAATCTATTTCGACCAATGAACGAGCGATTTCTAATGACGTAATCTCTAAAGAGAAGAAAAAATATTTTCTTTTATAATTATACAATTTTATTACAAAAGAAAGAGAAAAATATGATAATTTATTGAAACCTAGTGAAGCAGCTTCTTCACAAAATTTTTCTAGATTGTGGGCTTCATCGAAGATTAAGATGGCGTCTTGTAACATGGCATTGTCTGCTCGATTATCATTTTTATAAAAAAAGAAAAGAGAAATGGAAATTTATTGTTGTTATAGAAGCACCAATGAGATGAGAATAGATGGAGCAGCTTTCACTGCCTAAATTCCCTTGAATATATTTCTTTTTATAATATAAATCAATTTTTCATGAGAACACAAAATGTTTTATGCTAGAAGCCGCTCTACGTTTTAAAATCGTTTGGGGTTAGATTCTATTTTTTTTTTAAATAAGAGGGGGCATAAACAAAAATAATAAAAAAATATAGATAATTCATAAATAATGATAATTCTTCAATTATATCCTGCAATATTTTTGTATTCCTCTCCCATATGATATTTAAATTCGAATAATTGTTTATATATATTTTTATTATTTCTCAAGAGTATTTTGTTTAATATGTTAGCTAATCCCTATATAAAGTGAGCATTTTATTCAATTCATTTATCCAATCAGCTGTGATTAATCAAATAACATGTTGCAAACTTTAAAAATTTTTTTTGATTGATAATGTAACATGCCTATTGTAATTTCCTCGTATGCAATATCACTCACTTATAGGGACCTAGCTCTAAATATAAATTGCTAAACAAAATATACATTTTTAAAAAAATTAAATTTATATAAATATAATTATTCAAATACAAATATCATATGGGAGGAATAGCAAAAATATTGTATCCAGTCAGCTGTCAGTCAACTAATAAAGCGACACATTAAGATATCAAAATTTTATTGATCGCAAGACAAACATCAAAATTTTTCTCATATTTAAAAACAAAATGATATTGTAGAAATTGAATGGAACTTTCGAACTTTTCATTTTAAGTTATATAGCGTAAAAAGTTTTAAAATATATTTTAGATTTTATAGTCTAGTTATATTTTTTGGAATGTAACGAATAAAGTAACTAGTTATTTTTCTAATGTAACTTTTTAAAAACACTTGCATTTCTATTTGCAATTTACCCGACGCTCATCTTACGACCAATCGATTTTTCAACATGGATCCAAACCCTCCCCGATCCATATAAACCCCTGGCTTGAGGTGGTTAACCAAGAATCGGTCTCTGTTTGGTTCTATGTTCGTAAAATGTCACTTTTTGAAAACCGAACCCTCTTCAAACGGTTAATCAAATTTTAAGTTATTTGTTTTTATTTGCCAGTAACTGCCATATTGAAGTATAATAAAAAAATTAAGTTACAGGTTTAAAGAAGCTTATCTAGTGTTATTGTGTAATTTTTTTTATCTGATCAAAATTTTATTGTTAAAAATAAATAAAAAATAATTTCAAAAATATCTAATCTTATAGTATATTATTTTAGTATTAATTTATTTATAAATAATTATATATAAAAAGACAGGGATCCAAACCGAAACGAATATCTGTTCGGTTCAGGTTCGGATGAAAATAACGGTTCAAGGTTCGGTTCGTAAAAAATAAAAATACCGGTTCAGTTCGAACCTTTAAACCCGGTTTGAACACTTTTGTATTCAAACCTATGTCGAATTATATATAGGGAAGAATATTTTTATTTATTTCACAATTAAAATAAAAAACACACACATAAAACTTCATTTTTATTAATTGCACATTATAAAATAATATTTAAATTATAAATATAACAAATAAATTTCAATGATTTATTTTAATATGAACAATTACTTAAATTGTTCATATTAAGCTGCGCAATTAATATATTTTCTAAATTCGTCTCGCTCAAATTATATCTATAAGGAGATAATATAAATTTAATTGTTGAAAAATATCTTTCCACACTAACTTGGGTAGCCGGCACTGCCAGTATGATATTAGATTTGATATGTCATTTATAATATTATATGTAAATAATTTATATATTGGATATAATTTTTCTCTAGGCATTATAATTTAAAGCTTAAAATATTTAAAAAATGTTGTAAAATGGTAATATAGTAAAGATTAAATTTTTGCAATATACTTGTAATAACTTACACATTATATTTTACTCATAAAATTATGAGACTCGAACGGGTTCAGAGACATATTAGCGGTTCGGTTAGGTTCGGCTAGATATTTTTTAGCGGTTTAAAAAATACCGGTTTTTAGCGGTTTAATGGTTCAGTTCAGGTTTGGATCCCTATAAAAAGATATCGTATTATATATTATTTTGTGCATAATTTTATTTATATTATATTTAATTTTTTTAGGTAACGAGTAACCCGTTACTTGTTTGAATAGTTAGTAACGCGTGTTACTTTTTTCACAGGGTAACAAATAATGGTAACGCGTTCCTTTTTACAGACGTAACGCGTTTCTTTTTTGAAGTAACTTTTACATCACTAATATTTATCAATAAAATTTTTTTTACCAGCGCTATTATTAAAATTGCTTTTTGCATTGTTGACTTTATTCACTTTCAAGATGTTGACAAGATTTCTGCTCCCTGTAACCTTTATCATAATAAAAATAAATGCGTTATTTTGTATTTGAATTAAAGTATTAACAAAATAAAAAGTTACACAAGGAGTACTAAAATACTTACAAATTTTAACAAGAAATTTCGAATATTTACAAGTAATTTCGTCGTTTCAAGGTATATATATATAGCATAGATATAGCAGTTTTTTAAAAAATAGATATAATAGAGTCTCAGGAAGGAATAATTTATTTGAACATATATTCCCTTTAAAAAAAACTTAGAGAAAAATATATAAATGATGGCAATTACATGGGTTACATTTCCCTCCCTTCCATCAAATAGTTCTTAATTTTGTAATTCAGAAGAAATAATATATTAATGTCAATCATATTCTATTATCATTATTTATTTATTTATTGGAGAACTATGGGAACCCGAGAAATATGTGGCCCATAAAATGTAGAGTTTTTATTCCTAACACAAAGTTTGACCCCTAGCAACGTATTTATAAAAAATAAAATAGAACCACCTGCCCATTGCTCTTGGCATCCACGAGGTAATTATAAGGTGTTAATATAAGATCTGCATTTTTAGCGAGTTCCCTGGTGGAGTAATAAGGGCACACTTTATTGGCTGTCCCAAATCTTACGAGATCTTCTATATCTGGAACGGGAGGCAAAATGGCAATATCCTGAAGGACCAGATTGTTCTGATTCATCGATGGCTTTTTCTGGGGTGCTGTTTGCCTTGAGGTGTTAAAGTGATTGGATACATTGTTGTAGAAATGGCAAGTGCGATGGAAAAGCTTAACAGATGATATTAAATTAGAAAAGTGAGGAGAGGAGGGTAAGATAGGATATATATCTAATATAATATAATGTTTAAAAGAAAATTTGAAATACATATATTTAGCAAAACCTTTCCTCTGCACTTTTGAATCTTGATTGCATTATTGCTTTCTTTGGACACTTGAGGATGTATGCATAATTGCTCCCTGGAAGCTAATATTGATGAGTGTATTAAGGAAGCGTATTTCGTTTTTTTCAGTTCATGCATAACCTGATTTAATTGGCTGTGAGTCCGCGATGAATATATGATTTTAGGGAAAGAAATATTGGGATTTGTATCTATGGTACCTAGCATATCTTTTTGAGGGTTAGGGCTCACAGATGTAGATATTTTGGCTTTGTGGTGTTGAAGCCAACCTAAGGATGCACATAAAAGGCACAGCGTTTTTCCTGTCTCCGTGAGTTGGGGAGGGGAGTTATAATTTATTATTTGATTAATAGAAAATCAAATGGTAGCTAAATATTCTTAAAAATCCCTATATACAAGTATTACTAGCAGATGTTATTATTATTATTATATTAAGAGGGATTGCCCCTGATATTATTGGAGGGTCACTTGCTCTAGAAAGCATTTTGTCAAGTCAAAATAAACCATTACAATCATCTGAGTCCCACCATAGGCTCGTTATAAGGAAATATCAAAGCAAAAATCTAACCATTAAAAAAAATACTAATAAACCAAGTTAAAACTGGTTTGTAGTTGATTTAGATTAAAATTAAAATAATATTAATTATTTTAAATATAATATATTTTCCAATTTTTGTTTAAATATAATAGTACAAAATGGCTCAGTTAATTTGTTATTTCTTATTCATATTCTTCCTTTCCTTTCTTTTTTCTCTTCCTTTTTTCCTATAGTTTGGCAAAAATCTTGTTTTATCTCTTTTAAAAATGGGATAAATTGAGCTGCTTAACAAAACTACATTCACCCATAAACATTGCAAATATTTTAAATATTAATAACTTTTGGTGAATAAAAAAATATAAAATACACTTAATCATTTGTGAAAGTTAGTTGGATTTGTTTAAATAGAAAATATTGATTTTTTTATGAAGTGATGCATAAAAATCTATATAAATACCAGATTGGTATCGAATTTTTTTAGTAATATCTGTCAGTGAAAAATTTGTGGATAGGCATAACCCTAGAAATAAGGAAAAAAAATCATATTATTAACCCATCATTACTCTGGTGGGATCCATAGCAACTCAGTCATGCTAGAATTGATATTAAATATAAAAGGTTAATTATTATGATCTAGAATCCTTAGCAACTTCATTAAATAATTACATTTATTTTAGTTTTTAAGATATTGTGTTTCGTGATTACTGGGATATGTGAATTTCACCAGAGTAAATTCACAGGTTTTTTTTAAACCTTGGTTAAGATAGGAAAAAATATTTTTTAATCCATTTTATTTAGATGAATAAATAATAATTTTATGAAATGTCTAGTTTAAATATATAATAATATTTGTTGGACTTATAATTTCAAGTTATATTTTTTTAAAATCCTTTTTTAGAAAATTTTGGCACAAGTTATATCCCAAATATTTTTTATCTAAGAATATTAATTAATATTTTATAATGTTTAAGGTTAGTTCAATCTTATATCCAAGTATAAAAACTAAATAATGAAAATAAATAGATATATTCATTTGAAATCAGGATACCCCACCAGAGCATTTATGTCATTTTTGCTACTGGAATATTGAGGAATTAAGATGGGTTTTATGATAGCTATTATAAAGTAAAAATATTATATTATTTTCTTTGTCCTTCTTATCTGTTTAGAAATTTTTAGATATTTTTTTTTTTTTAAAATGGGTATAAGCCAGTGATATTGGTTAAAATTGAAAGCACCAGCCAATGCCAAGATATACTGAATGAGCCTATATCAATATAAAATTATCATTTTAGAAAACTATTAAGTATTACTTATTTTTATATTAATAAACTAGTATACAAGATATTCATTTCATTTTTGTAAGATATTTGATTGGGGGAGGGGATGTGATATTCATAAAAATATTCAAGTTATTAAAGGGAGAATTTACATGTTTACAAATTTAATATAATTGATTTTAAGTTATATATTTGTTAATGTCGTTTTTATTAGTTATATAAGATAGAAATAAAAAATTCACAAATTATAAATCCAAAACCATATACATATAAATTTATTATGATTTTTTTATGTTAGTGGTTACTACAATTATATAGGTACCTTATTAAATATTATTATTTATATGCTTAAATAATTAATATAAATTTTGTGAAGGTAATAATCTTATTTATTTTGTGATACCCGTTCCTGTAGGGCTTTCTAATAATCCATTTTGGCGATTTTCTAGGCATTGAATAACTTTTTTCATATACTCTATTTGACATTCATAAGGAGTATATGGAAAATCAATTGATATTTTATTAACAACAATTTCTGGCATATTAAAAGTGAATTTATATTTCGCGGTACAATGAACACTGATTTTACTATAAAATGAGATTTGACAGGTTAGGTTTGACATAACAGGGATGTAACCACTATGCAAGTAATATTAATTAAGGACATTTTTTATTGACCTGCGCCAATAATTTAGATCTGCCGATCCAATTTCCTAAGCATTCACTCCTGCCTAGGTTGATACGTGTTCCCTTTTTTAGATTTTTTTAATTAAATTTAAAATATTTTTTTTCATATTTGTTATTTTTTAAGTATATTTTATTTAATATCATCGTTTACATATTATCTTATTTTTAATTTAAAACCTTTTTTTAAATAAAATTATTCATATTTTTTTAAAAATGCATTATATATAATTATTGTTTAAAATTACTTAATTATTTCTATTCTAGCATACATTATTCAATTTATATAATGAATACTGCTGAAAACTCATGTTATTACTTTATTATATTTTTAAAATATATCTTCGAATTAATTTGCAAAATTTAAATAACGATGCTATTGTCGTTATTTAAAAAAACATAATATTTAGAGCATCGAATGATTGTTTTTTAAAATATAAGATAATTATATATTACATATAATTTAGCATGTCAACACTTTATAAATGCTATTCCTAAATATGGATATATTCGTATCTTTTTATTTTATTTATAAAAATAGCATTATAATTATCAAAATTAATTTAATGTTTTATCACAAATTTACTGATTATTCAAATTCTTAGAAAGATGCTCATTAAAATTCCTCTTTTATTCAGCCCATGTCATATATTCGACGAAGAAATCCAGCTAAATGACCAACTTGCCTTTATTTTTGATTTGGAATTAGGATTTTATATGTATAATTTAATGCCAGATTAATCAAACCTAATAATTAATACATTAAAATAAAATTATACCAAATTATATGTTTTTGATTACAATTTTCGTTGCTTTTATATTATTCAATTTTCACAAAAATTAAAACATTTTTTATACATCAAAAATAATAATCCATCCACATTTGAATATTAACTAATTATTTTTATTTTTTCCTTTTAAATATTCAAATATCTCGATACTTGCAACACCCTTTCCCTTAGATACCACCATCTAGGGAACTTGACGCGATTCTTCCATTCAATAATCTCGGTGTCTCATAATGATTTCGGAATAAAGAAAGCTTGGCTCCACTCAGATTAGATTACCCGTGAAAATATATCTTCTGTAAAAAATAATAATTAAACTTGGAGGAATTCAAATTAATAATTTTTTCACACAAAAAATTTTTACAGGCTAGGTAGCCTAAAAGCCAGTTAAAAAAAATTAGGCGAAAATTCTGACAAACCACGGATCGTGATACTTCTCATTCAGCAAAAAATTGGTTTACGAATTAAACAATGCAATGTTTCAAGTTCCAAAAAAAAACAAATACCACGAAAAAAAGTTAAGTTATATATTAATCTTTATTTTTTATATAAATAATTGTATAAAATATATAAAAATATTAATAAACGAATATAACAAAAAAACGAATAAATATTATTATTTTATATATAAAATATTTTAGTCATCAAAAAGAAATAAAGCTTGGAAAACTGATTCCAAGCCATTTAATCTCTTCAACTCCTTCTCATTCTCGGCGATATCTTTAGTCATGTCGAGGATTTCCTGTTCTACAGCAAGCACCTTTAATGGTACACTGTTAGGACCGAGATCGAGAAGTGTCTGCAACTCCGCTATAGCTGCGCTGATTTCGGCAGTAGACTGTATTAATTCGTGAATTTGGGTTCTAATTTATTATCACGTTTTTTTAAAAAAAAATTAGAAATGAATGAATGATCAAGAGAAAAAGGAATATAAATATGATAGTATCATAAATTGTCATTTATTCCCCCCCCCCTTTTTAACTCATTAAAATCATAAGAAATATATTATTATTTTTTTTATTATTACTAATCATCCACTTAATTTATTATAAACCAATAATGTTTTGCGTGAGGGTTTTAGGGTTGGGCAAAAAAAATCCAGGTTTTTTAAATTAAAGAATTTATAACTTTGTAACAATTATTAACATTACTAGTGTTGTTAAAAAGCCCGAATCGGGTCGATTCTTAAAAACGGCCCGATTAAGATTATAACCAAAATAATATTGTGTAAGCCATCTATGTTGCTCATAGATGGCAGAAACTGGTGTTGTTAACCGGCTCGAATCAATATTTTAGCCAGAAAAATATTGCCTAAGCCTCGAGGCTTCGTTAATAGATGTATAAACCTTTGTGCCATCTATGACCAAAATCTTCGGTCTTGCGTAATATTTTACTGGCTAAAATATGGCGTTGCCGTTTTTAAAAAATCGGCTCAAATCAGGATTTTTAAAACACTAAGCATAACCCTCAGTAGAATGAGTATTTCAATCATTTCCATTCTAGGTCTAAGAACTTGAAAAATGTAGGAAAAAAACTAGTTTTCTTATATAATCGCCATTTTTCAAAATTCTTATTGGCGAGTCATTCTTTTATTTATTATGTACTGATTATATTACTCTTTTTTTTATTATAAAGAAACATTAATTGTTAGACTGGCCCGATGGGGTCGTTTTTTAAAAACGGCCTAATTAAGGTTTTAGCCTAAATAATACTGTGAAGGTCTCGAGATTTGGCGAAAAAGAGGTCCAAGCCCTTCTGCCCATCTGTGAGCAAAGGGTCCAGGCATATGTAGTATTATTTTAGTTAAGATCTCAATCGGGTCGTTACTTATAATTTCTTACTTATATTTGAGATTAGAATTGATAAATTTTTATTATGCGATCTAATTGAGTGTTTGTTTGCATTCCGTTATGCAAAACGCTAACAATGCATTTCGAATGGTATCGTTCAAATTGATAAATTTATTAACGTTAATATGAAATGCAAAACTTGTTTGCCTTTTTTTTCGAAAACGCTCATTAAGGTTCGCAATATAAAACACTCACGTCTATTTATAGTGTTAAAAAATTTTGCAAAAATAAAAAATTGTGCAAATATGAGCAATTTTAATTGCTAGTTAAGGCATTTAAGCTAAAACGCATGATAACATGTTATCCAGTTTAAATGTTACATCTTCAAAATAATCAATAAATAGAGAGAGAAAAAAATCAGTTTATCTTAGTAAAATTTCCTTTTAATGAATATACTATATTAGTAACAACCATAATCAACTCCATTCACGTTTTAGAAATTAAAATAAATATTTTATAAATCTTGTTAATTTAAGAGTATTTTTTTTTGTTATAAAAAGAAATAAAGTGAGGAAAGATATTTTTAAAAAATGGTTTATTGCATATTTGATACACATAAATAAAAAATTCCCCCCCCCCCCCCCAGAAAAAAAGAAATGAAAAAGGGTGTTTATAATAGTATAGCCTAGTAATTAGAGATTTTATTAAAAACTGGTTTGCACTGGATTCCTCGTTATCGGTCATAAAGGGTACAATATTCTTGACGGGCAATTTGTTCGATTGAATTTCCAAAGCGTTTATAACCTTTTGGTATATGGGCAGGCATACATCGAACGCGTCGCATATCGGCGTTAAAAGTTCGGCCTTTGTAAATTAAAAAAAAAAGTTATCATTTTTATACCGCAAATCCGTCGCTCATAATAAATTTCTTGTGGTGCAGGCCCGCCTCTTACACAAATATGTATACATCGTTAACCGTGCTATTAGCCGAAAAGAAAATCGCGCTTCTACAATAATAAATTGTTTTGGTATGGGTTAAAAAGTAAGAATCAGCTTTAAAGCGATTTTCAGCTAATAGCGCGGTTAACGATGTAAAAATATTTGACGTAAGGGGTGGGCACATTTATGATGAGCGACCAATTTTTTTTTTTTTAAAAAAAATAATACTCAGCAGACCTAATCTGATTGGATATTGAAATATCGGTTGTTGTCAAACAGCTGGTTTTGAAATATTGCCTAAGCCTCGAGTTTCCCCTAATTGATGTCTAGATGAGCAAAATTTTTATGGCTTGCGTAATATTATTCTGGATAAAAAACTGAGTTCACCGTTTTTAAAAAATCGGCTCAAATCGAGCCGTTTAACAACACCAATCTAGATCATTAATAATAATCGCCTAAAAATTCATCTTGTCTTGAAATGGGAAGAAATGGGTAAAATAATATTGAAAATTAAAAGTATCTGTAAATAGATATAGCTAAAAATTGTATCGTAATAAAATACTAAAACATTTTTATATTATTAATATTTAAACAACTCAGTCTGCTGATAGTAAAAAGTATCCAGCGTAAATTAAAATGAAAAGGAAGAAATAAAATTGCTCCATAACCCATTGAAATATTGGGCTGCAAAAATTGTCACAAAGAATGAGACACTACATAGAAAACCTGTCAAGCAATTGATTTTTTTTAGTGAGTTTCATGGTACCGACAGAACACATTCAAGAATGTTGAGCTGTGACAAACGAGAAGCACTTGCATTTCTTAAAATAAGCCGATATAATCCTATTTTTTAATTACTAATTAAAACATCGATTTAAAATTTCTATTATTTGATATATAAATATATATATATATTTCATTATTTTACTATTAGGTAGTATATTATAAATAACTTAATGACTATGAAATAAATAGCACAAAATAATATTGTTATATTGGATCTGCTGATATTGGTAATTTCCTCAATATCAACGATATTTAATTACTCTTAAAAAATGAGTATCGGTAATAATAGATGAGTTTAGCTTGGTTTGGATGACAGGGTCAAGCTAGGCCAGTGGGATAAACAAATTGTTCAAAACATTTTTTATGAAAGTATTAAAAATATATTTTTTAAAAGCTGATAATTTACAACAAATTAATGTAGTTTTCTTTACCAAGAAAATTAACATGGGACAGGCCAGAACACTTGTATGAAAATATATACTGGCCAAAAAAAAACTCATATTGTATTAATAAATCTGTAAAATACTCTCTTATATTCAAGTAAAATTTTAAATATAAATCGAAAGATAAAAAAAATTGGTTTACCTCTTTATCCATTATTTCTTCCCATCGTTTTAACTCTTTCATCGTTTCGGAGTAATACATTTGTTCGTTCAATTTTTTTTGATCCTCAATATTCCTTTCTCTCAGATCGTTTAATTCTTTCTTTAAGTTTTTTAAAATAATTATCCATTTAATTATTACGAATAAAAAAAAATTTTATTTTTTATTTTTGAGATAAATGTCAGACCAGCAGACGATTACTATTTTGCCGAGTTCAGGGATTATTTAAAAAATTTTTTTTAATTAAAATATATTATATTTATTTTTTTTAATTTTTTATAGAATAATAATGGCGATTTTTAAAATTTTCGGCTTGGTTCTGTCTGGGTAGTGTTGTTAAAAGGCTCAATTTTGAGCCGTTTAAACAACACTATGTCTGGGTATATTTTTTTAAAAAAAAATTAAAATATGGCCCAGTGTACAGGTCTCTGATGAAATCAATTTACATTATTTAATGCGTATGGGTAGTCCCATGACAAATCACCCAGTTTTTTGGGTGACCATTTTAAAAATGGACGAAACTTAATATTAAAAGTTTTAAATAGAATTGTATATTATATTTTTTAAAAAAAGTCGTAATTTTAAATCTCTAAGCTCAAATAGAACCGAAGTTATGGGCCTTCGAAGTCCTATAAGGGCGACATCTTGGTTTTAATAATCTCAAATTATTAGAATCATTTCATGGCCCATTAAAATTATACTTAAAATTAAAATTATTTAGAAAATATTTTCAGTATTGATGAGCTAAATAAAATAAAACTTCTTATTTTCTCTATTAATTTTTATTTAAATATTTAAGTAAAAATATTAATGGTGAAAATATGAATTAAAATTGTATTTAGTTTTTTTTTTAATTTAGGAATTAAAAATCAATCATAAAGAACATTTTAATATGATAATACTCAAATAGGTTTATTGGTAATAGAAATGAGTTTCATTGTTTCAAATTAGGCTCTTCTCAAAATAATTTTTTTTTGTTTTACTGAATATATAATGATGCTGAAGATATTTTTAAAACAATTTTTATATTTTCTTAGGGAGAATTTTGAGGGCTACAAAATGATTTAATTTGTTATTTTAAACCTAATTTTTTTTGAATAACTTGAGATTCTTTAAATGAGGAAGAGATTCTCATTGAACTATGAAGGTCCATAAATTAAGGCTAGAATAAAATGGCTAACTCACTATTTTATTTAGAAAAATATTATAAAAGCCTAAAGATTTTGGTCATAGATGTTACAAAGGTTTGGACATCTATTTGCAAAATCTCAAGACTAAAGCAATATTTTTTTCAATATAATAATGAGTTAGCTATTTTTAAAAATCGGCTAAAATCAATAGGGCTGCACCAATATACATATTTTTCACCGATCCAATCCAATATTTTCAAATATTGTTTCATAACTGATCCGACTGATACTGATCTAATATTTAATTGATTTTTCACCACCCTACTTTGATCTAAATGTAATTAAGAAATCAATATTTTTTATGCAAAAAATCAAATTATGCATTTAATTTAATTTTTTTATTTGTAGAAATAAAAAAAATTATTATAATAATTTAAAATAAATATATATAACATAAAATAATTTAAAAAAAAGAAAAGTAAAAAGATCGGATCGGTTTTCTGCAGGTATTGGCCCGACTCATTAAAGCAGCCATGTTTTCTATTATAAAATGGTCATCCAAAAATCAAGTTATTAATAGTTGATTTGTTAAGAATTGTCTATTAAGTTTAATTATACCATATTATTCTTTATTTCTAATTCATAGGCTTCTTCATTTTGATGTTTTTCATATAATACTTGCAGATATTTAATATATTTTATTTCTTGTTCATCAGATAATTCTTGTTGTTCATCCTAAAATACATATATTTGTCATTTTTCTTTTTGAAATATAACTTCTGTAATAGATTGGCATGAGTATTTTCGTTGGCATGATATTGATGATATATTTGAAGTGCTAAAGGTGTGTGATAATGTTTTAGAATGACTGGTAAAGCTTGAGAAATTAGAGAGGCTATGCATTCTTTTTGTAGATATAATCACTTTGCTTATATTTGTTGAACTGGAACTTGCTAATATTTTTCAAATAAAAAATTAAATCAATATTAAACTTCTAAAACCTAATTGATTATTTTCTGAATTTTGGTTCTTTAACCTTGTTTTAAACAGGTTTTTCTTTGATTTATAATTTAACGCATTAATCTTTGAATTGTTTATTTTTGACGGCATAATTTTTAAATTTATATGAAAGAATGAATGAACAATTTAGGTTAATGCTTATGCTAATCTACAACCGGTTAATACTCTTAATCATTATGCATTTTAGTCTATCTACAACACAAAATATATTAACCCTACAATTATTAATAAAACATTGTCTCCTATTGATTATGTATATTTCAGGATTATATTTTTATTTTAAATTACGATTTTTAAAACCTCTTATTTGAAAAATATAGTTATTTTTAATAAATAGAAAACTTATCATAGCTTTATTTTTTAAATCATATGAATATAAATATTGCACTAATAACAAAGTTAAGATAAAACATTTTTAGATGTATTTTTTGGTATTAGAAATATATAATATTTTAATAAGTTAGGTTTTCAATTTTAACTATTAAGTTATAACATTTTACCTAATATTCAAAACTTTATAAAAATATTTATTAAATCAGTTTTATTGAAAATAAATTATAATCCTGATAATAGTAAACATAAAAATAATTTTTTTTCATAACGATTTTTGGGCTTGTTTTTTTATGGGTATATATTTAATATTTAAATTACTGAAGATTTCTAAGTTTAATATACAATTGTCCATAATTTTTACTGGTAATAGGTATAATAAATTTAGGAGATTTTATTCATCAATTCAAATTACAATTATATAAGAAATTTTAAAATTTTATTTTATCTATTTTATTTCAAAATTATTTTATTTTTACTAAAAATGTAATATATTTTCATGCTTAGATAGCTTGTAAAAATTAATTTATATAAATAAAAAATTAATTTAATAATTTACATAAACGAAAAATCAATTTAATAATTTACATAAACGAAAAATCAATTTAAATAAAACTATTGAGTTTATATTACAAAATAACCCGCAAGGTTAGTATTAAGTTAATAACGAAAAAGAAATATATGAAATAATTAATCAGTTACCCCCATACACTCTTAACTAGAGGATAATATATTATTATTAAATAAAATTTTTAACTGATTATAAATAAAATCAAAATATATTATTATCCAATAAGCAATTTTATATATTGAGCTTAATATTATAATATTAAACTTTAAAATAGATAAAATTTCGAAAATACTATTTTTGATAATAATTGCCTCTATTTACTTAGACCTTTGCGCTGATGGAAAAATTATCTGCTGTAGGTTTCACTTTAGCTATTGGAGTCAGCAGGGCGCAGATTTTTATGCCGTGTTTATATCGGCGGCGGTATGGCGCGTTTTAAATTTTGTATTAACTTATCAATTATATATTCTATTCTAACTTAATTTAAAAAAAAAATTATGAATACTAAAATTAATTATTTATTTGATATACTATTTTTAAAATAAGGTTTATTTTAAATTATATTATATTTATAAGATTATATAAATCATGTATTTAAATTATTTTATTTTAATTTCTAAAGACATTATTTAATGAGCTTTAACTTAGCCCAGCTGTAGAAAATTCAAACTCATTGGTAATTCTTATGGAACATACTATATATTAATTGTTAAAACGAAAATCTAGCTTGCTCTAATCTTCTCGTTTTTCAAGTTAATATATTATTATCCACTTGTTATGATAAAGGATAAAATAACAAACATTTTTTTGTTCCAAATCATTCATGATATCGTTTTGCCGAGGACAAATATATAAATTTTTATCATCTAATTTTTATATTAAATCCGCAGCGTCATAGATATTCGCTTAAAACAACCCCCCCCCCCCCCCACCCTCAAAAAAGGCCAATGCCTACCCTTTTAAAAATTATGCCCAGTTTTGGCGACAATATTCCCGAATTCAATTGTATGTAATTAATTATGATCGTAAACTCATATATTTAAAATAAAATTACTTAAATTATCAAAACTCTACTAATGGCTCTCAAAAAATTATTATCGCAAAAGATTTTTTTTTAGAACATAAATTAAATTAAAAACCGCCAGTTTTAAAATTTTATATTAGGCTTAGTTATAATTTTTGATAGTAGAAAGATGTTGCAAAATCTTTGGATCTACTAATAAATTGGCATTCCCATTATATTTTACTCCACTAGGAAAAAATAAATATAAAAATTTTTTAAAAATTTGTTTATGCCTAGTTAAAAGTTTTTGATAGTAGAAAGATGTTATAAAATATTGCCATTATATTTTATTCCAAAAAGAAAAATATAATTATATAATAATATAACTATTTATCTGCAACTATTGCCCATAAATTATTTCTAAGAAATAATAAAAAATATTATTAGAACTTTTACACATATTTATAATGTCATGTTTTGCCATCTATATGAATTATTTATGCAAGTGATATATTATATAAATAAAACATATCCATGAAGATAATTAAATAATAATATTAATTATCCTATAGGAAACCTAATAAACCAATTAACCTAATCCCAGGTTTAGGGCTTGTTAAAGTAAAAATTTACTTTTACTGGAATCAATCTTTAGAAGAATAAAATATTTAAATAAAATTATAAAAGTATGACTTTAAGCAAGTGTTTGGAATATCTCATCTTATTTTATAAATTCATATACAATTATTTTTGGACGTATATAATGATTTTGACAGGGACTAGCCCTGGAAAGATTATTTTTCCTGGCCTTCGGTCGGATAACGAATTTCATTTTATATGTTATACACTACTGAGATCGGCAAATCGTATTCTGGCGAGTAACTGGCACATGCACTCGTCTATTTTTGAAAAATAATTCTGGTTCTGGATTGGTCCAACCTATTTTTTAAAACAGATTCGGACTGTGCCTGAAAAATTAGGTCCTATGCAAATCACAAATAAACAACTCATCTCAATCACATATTTATTAGCTTTATATCTTTTTTTCTTCTTTTTTTAAATGTATTTTATATCTTAATAAATAATTTTTATATTAATTTGAAATAATATTTAACCAATAAATTTATTTTCAAAATATTAATCTTTTAATCTTTTCTTTTCACTAAAAAAAAGATTTCAAATATAGGATTACCACATCCTGCTTAGTGGAAAAGAGAACATTTTTTTTTATCTATAAATAATTAATTAAAAATGAATTAATTAAATTGATGATTAAGCAGTTATTTAATAAATTGCATTTATAAATCACATCAAACCTTTATAATGATAAATGTTTATTAATAAAAATTAAAGAAATATGGACAAACCTATTAAATAAAATGATATTACATGCTTATAATTGCTTTTATAGATTTAAATTCCGCTATTACCTTCATTTGTTCATTGACTGCTGATTAAAGAAAAAAATATCTCAATGTTTGCAATAGCTGATCTAGGGAAATTGACGCTTGCTTCATCTATTCGCGTATTAAAATATCATAGAAATAATTTCATCTTTGGTGTAGAGAAAGTTCTGTATATCCAACGCACCTCATTTTGTTCAAAATAAACGAGGTAAGGTTGCAAGATTGTTCAAGCAACTTTGACACCTTTAAAGTGACATTTGTCTTAATCAAAAAATCTATAGACTTTTCGAAATGTGACTAATTGCCATTATTTCCACCCATTTCTTCGAGAGATTCTGAAAGATAAACCCATTAAATGCATTGTCTTTATAACATATCATTCAATGCATCTATAAGGTTTTGTCCATTTTTATTATAATTGTTTTAAATATTGTCTGTATTTTTAATGGAAAAATATTTCATTTTTCTTTCGGTTTTTAAATAGTTTGACATTTCAATAACTCATTTAATTTTCTTTTATGAAACGTATACATCAAGGAATAAACAAACCACATATATGCGTTTTTTTTAAATCGTTTATAAAAAAATTTATGATTATTGGTAGATTGTTAATTGAAAGAAAGTATACCATTTTAAGGCTTCATACATTTTAAGAAATGACATAAGGAAATAAAAAAATGAGGTGTATTTTTTGAGTGATAATAAGTTTGTTTCAGAAAAGTTCATGAGACCCGTTTTATCCAATGCTTACATATCATTTATTTTCGAGTATTCTGTAGAATAAAAAAAAAACAATAGGGAGTATAAGAATCTCCCCAAACAAGATATCAATATCTTTTCCTTAACTTTCTTTTTAAAAAACTATTTTTCGTCGTATTTAATTTTACTTTAACTATAAATTTATTGTAATTTTTAATAATTTCCTCTTCCTTATAAGTTTTTTTTTATTTCTACTAAAAAGAATTTAAAAAATAATGACTTACAAGTAGTGTTGTTAAACGGCTCATTTTGAGCCGATTTTTAAAAACGGCTAACTCAATATTTTAGCATAGAAATATTGTCTAAAGCTCCAGATTTCGCTAATAGATATCTAGACCTTTGTGTCATCTAGAAGTAAAAATCTTCAGGTTTGAGTAAAATTTTTCTATATAAAATACACTGCTTACAATTACAAGGTTCTTACTTACCAATTTATTTATAAAAATAATACCTATTATTTATTTTGTATATCCTAAAAAAGTAAAAGGATAAAATAATTAAGGGTGGGAGTGTGAAGAAATAAATAATTTAAAATATTTTTTAAAGTTGAAAAAAATTAATTTTTTTTTATAAAAAATTTATTAGAAAAAAAATTTTGCAGTGAAGAAATATAATAAAGTAATTCCCGAAAGTTTAAATTTGATTTTCAAATGGCATTTTAATTTTTTTTATTTTTTAGATTTTAATACAACTGGTATTTTTTTATTTATTTTAATAATATAAAATTTTAAGGTATAAAATTGTTACATAGCACTATAAAATCTAAATAATACAAATCATTTTTCACCGATAATAACATTTATTGGTGTATATA